GGGGGGGGGGTGTTATAGAAAATAAATTTTTTTCGTTTTACAGTAACAGTTATGAATTTTCGTAATCCTTAAGGCGTCTCAGGTCATTACAAATAATCGAAAAAGTTTTCCACTAGGCCTAAGGTCGTATTTCTATATTGACCTGCAAGTAATGATGTGAACGAGCTTGACCTCACATATCGAGGTCAAGCTCAGGTACGGAAGGATAGAGTAAAAGGAGGTTGCTTAAGCATGTAAGTAAGACGATAAACGGGGAGTTAAAACTTGTCTGTCATATTGGATAAATTTTCGATGAAAAATTAGGTCAGTCACGTAACGTTCGACCCCGATGCCCCGGTCTTTTGTAAGACTTCACAGACAATTTAGTTAGTCGTCGAATTTTCGCTTGGCGTCGTCGCGACAGGAAAACGTCGAAGAAATTTTCCAAGATGCTACTCAGGGCGGGCATTCAGCGAAGACTCGTCATCGAGTCCAACTCGTCTCGGAACAATTCTCAATCTTCTCGAGGGTCATCTGGGAAATTACATTGTGAATCGTTTTGTCGTGTCCGTCAATAACACTACAATTGACATTTCTTTTTAGAAATTTCTTTCACCCGTTTATGGGTCGCTCGTTCTCTTCGTTGAAAATTGTCTGCCTTTTGTTTGCCTTGTTCCGTTTGCTTTTTGTATTGGCTCGTGACGTCACTTCGGGTCACGTAAGGTTAGGCTGTTTCACGTAAACAGATTCGTAGGATGTACAATGCGCTTGGGAGTCGCGAGGAAGGAGTTACGGGTCGCTCAGTCCAGTGACCCATTTTACCGAAAAAATCCCAAAGAAGCAGGCAGGAGACTCGGGAATTTCGGGCACGCTCGAGAAATTCGTTTTGCGGTTTTACGGTTTACGGTGACTTTCGGCGATAGCGTTCGTATTTAGCGCTCGGATCTGCGGCTGGTCCGACGAGACTTCCCGAACCGTCACTAACCGGTTATACCGAGCACTTTTGATGCGCTGACCTATTTTCTAGAAAATTCCCAAAGATATCTCTTCCGAGATTTAGAATCACATTGTGCACATAACTCGTAGCTCGATGTAGATTCTCCTGTTAATTCGCTCGTTTACGTCAGTGCAATGGGAGAGCATACGTATTCATAGGCAATTCCATATTATTTGCTTTTCATGAAGTTTTTACATCGCTCACCAGACATTCAGCCGAGAGATTAAATATTTTTCATTGTGCGAAAAGACGAATAATTTTACTCTAATCACGAAGCAGAGTACTCAGGAATATCTTTTTTTTAACAGAAAATTCATTTCAAACATTCAAATTCCGACGGTCGAGTCGAAAGAAATATTTTTCACCACACGGGGGTTTGTGTACTTGGCCTATATACGGATATATATAATATCATATACATATATATATATATATCTATACACAGTTACCACCTAAAAGTCAGAAGAGAGGGTGGTTACGGAATTCCGCAGATTCCAACAATTTCGATTAGACACGACCGACAGGAGCGAATTCACGGAATTCCAATTGTCTTGGTAGCTTCCGTCCCGAGTCACGTAATCGTAGTCACGTGACATTCATCCAATACGACACATGGGAATTGATATTATCAGTGGTATTGCTAAATTTTCTTTGACAATAGACACTACTCTTATCAAACTTGTATTATCATCATTGTCTTCCATTATTCGATGATTCGAATAAAGTGCTTTATTCTCAAATTACGTCAGACGAAATAAATTTCTTTTATAAGCAATACGGATTAATATTTTTAAGAAGGCGGAGTAATTGAAAGGGACGCCGGAATCTTTACGTTCTCTGCATTCCTTTCGCGTTTTCTTTTCTTTCGCTAATTTATTTATTTCTTTATTTTTTTTTGTTATTTTTACGTAAATTCACCTTTTCCCATTTCGATTCCTATCAATTCGTCGATTAACGTGAAATCGTAGTTCTTTCTTTCACACTTTGTGTCCGCATAGAAATTTCCTGAGTTTATATATGTTTATATATATATATATATATATATGTTTTATTCATCTACTCTTCCATTAGCCACGATCGTGCGATTCCCATCAGTGTGAATTCTTTCACTGCAATCTGCAGGTATTAGTTGTTTACGAGGGTTTCCTTCGTTTCGAGCACTTTTTTTTTTCAATTTCCTAGCTCACTCTTGTGCATCAACGTGAAATCGATTCGTAATCAATTGGCGAGCCGTTTTCCTGGGTTCGTAACTTCTGCCATTAATTCTGCGCGAAGGACTCGCGATATCTTGCGGAAATTTTCGAGATATCCTTAGAAGGTGGTACAAGCGCAAGCGGAAAGTTATAACGGGATTTGATAAAAATTAAGATGGACTAATTGCACGAAGAAGATATAGCGTAAACGTGATATATGGATTAAAAGCAGTACAACGAGCGCAGACTGTGAAATTAGAGAGAGGGGCAAGAGGGGGGAGAGAATAAAGGTTTTTGGGTGTTGGCGCGACTCAAGTATGGTAAGCGGAAAGTCGAGAGAATGCAAAAGCATTAAACTAGAGATCCACCGGAATCTTATTTTCCAGGCAAATTCACTCAAACTCAATTTAGACTCTCGAGCCTCACGCGATTTAACAAACTTGTTTCCTGAGCTTGCATTGTTATTGCAAAGCGAATTCCCATTCTCCCACGACGATTGCACTTGTTAATTATCGAATATTGAATTTTTATGCCGTGCGATAACGGTACTGTAACGCAGTCACGGAAAACCTCAAATCATGAAAACGGTCTCGAAAGCCAAACTGCGAGACGTATCAAAGTTTTCGTATCCCGATCCGTGAAATTATGATAAAAAAAAAAAAAAATAATTTCAAAAGGACAAAGAGGCGAATAAGAAGAAGAAATTCACGAACATTCTATACCCGTGGCGGGGAATTAAAAACGCAGAAAGCCGGAGCTCCTCGTTACACGCGACAAAAGAATTTAATTAAGCGACCAGTAATTAGCTCTCGCCAAGAGAGCGAATTACCTGTAATTAGCCAGTATTTGCATTCCCCGAGTAGTGACGCGATGAGTATCCGTGGTATAATCGAGAGCGGTAGGTAGAGCAGCCGTGGAGCCGTTATCGGTCAAAGGTGAAAGTCGTGTACGAGTCAAGTGGCGATCTGCGAATGAGAGAGGAGTCGGACAGCGATGACGTAACGAGCAGCTGCAACTGCCTGGGTGTAATTTCGGTTAAAAGTGAATTCCCTGTTCGCAGGAATGGATCGACGTGAACATGTGCTGGAACACCTCGGAATACGGAGAAGTGAGCGATCTCAGGATACCGCCTCACAGACTCTGGAAACCAGATGTTCTCATGTACAACAGGTAAGACATCATTCATCCAAATGGACGTGCCATGATCACGTGACTAGATGCTTAGATAAGCATATACTCTATGCAACTGCAATCTACCTATCTGTGTATCCAAGTCTCTATGCAACTGCAGTTGCACGCAGGGATTCCGAAGACTTGCAGAATTTGACGTTGATAGCTATGATATCTTTTTTAAATTCACTCATGCGGCTTGTCATTCAGTCTGATGGAGAGCCGAGAGAGGAGGAAAAGCGGCTTTGGTTCCTTTTTTTTTTTTTTTTGTAAAAACTTATTTTTCAAATTTTCAAAACAGTATCAGCCCTTCCCTCACTCCTGGCATCGATCTCCGTGCATGAACTGGTGCATTCGGGCACGTGTGCCGGGGCTTGGTTTCGAAGGGTTGGTTTGATTAAAAATGGGTGAATGCAGATTGGAAAGTCAGTCATTGCAGCCAAAGCGTTTCTCTCTCCTCGCGGTAAAGTAGGGTGTGGACTCTGCCAATGCGGATGCAACTGCTACTGCAATAGCGAGCGCAGCTGCGGCTGCAGTCACGGATGCAGACTTGCCGAGATAGTAGTTGGGAATGAAGGTGAGCACAACAATGACAGGCAAAACAAGGGAAATGCACTTTGGGGAGGCCGTGCGCCTCGTGGACAAAGGAAACCAAAGGGAGGTGGATGGGTGGTTGGATGGGTGGTAGTGGAGAAAAAAAAGAAGAAAAAGAAATAGAGAAAAGGAAATATAAAGCGAAGACTGAAAAACGCCGAAAGGCGAAATACTTGGCGCGTTATCGACACCATTCGATAACCATACCTACTGGCTTTGCAATTTCTTTTCTTTTCTTTTTGCGACTGATTTGTGCTTAAAAAATGGTCGTTCACTGTTTACATATTTCTTGTTTAATTACAAGTCTTTAATGATACATTGTGCATTACCTAATTCTTCTTTTTTATTCTGCTGAAGCAAGCGTGCGATCATTTATTTTTATTTTTGTAAAACTGCAGACGGCTGATTGCTGCTATCTGTCGCAACTGCAATATCCACGGCATTATCCACTTTTGGCACCGGTCCCATGATCGATCCGCAGCTGCATTTCATTTCCATCAATTTGATCAACGTATTGCGAGCGCACGTTAATTTTCCATTTGTAATGTTCGTTGAGCGTTGCTTTTGTTTTTGTTCGTCATAGACAGTGGGCCAGTTGCATGGCCACGGATAAAACCCCGTTAACAGATGCATCTCCCAAGTGCATCCGCAGCTCGACGCCATTCTTGCTTCTGCGCTCGATTACTTTGGTAATTTTACCGCATAAACAACCGCAGTGTATAATGGGAACACACGGCTGTTTAACTTCGAAATATGACCCGCTGATTACTCGCATAGGTCACTTGTAATTTCCAACAATTACAATTGTATTTTCACGCGTTAAAATAATTGGTCGACTTAGTCCCGAATGAAGATAACCGAGGTCCGGTTTAATTTTATTAATTGTTTTTTTTTTTTTTTTTTTTTTTATGACGTTAGCCTAACTAGCGCATCGTTAAGCCAGCATTGCCGTTGCGCGATATAGCTGCTAATAAATTGATGTTTCACAATTAATATATTATATAATGTTCGCAATCGCAATTCAGTCTCGGGACTCGTTTTTTTTTTTAATTTTTTTTTTTTTTTTTTTTTTTTTACTATGACGTTAGCCTAACTAGCGCATCGTTAAGCCAGCATTGCCGTTGCGCGATATAGCTGCTAATAAATTGATGTTTCACAATTAATATATTATATAATGTTCGCAATCGCAATTCAGTCTCGGGACTCGATTTGTGGAATCTTCAGTGCTATTTCATTCGCCGAAGATTTTCTCAGGGACGAACGAATAATGGTGCACTGATGTGATTTTCTAGAAAGGGGTTAGGACTTAGGTTATCGTAGGTTAGGATAGGCCCGTTCCGCTTAATACATGACAAAATGAGTTTACATTGGCTAGGATGGCTCGACTGCATAGGAGACTTGGATTGGCGCCAAAGGCAATATGCATTAGCCATCACGTGTATTTGAAATGCAAGCCAAAGCAGATTAAGTTCATGTTTGCTGATACATAATGAACGGCCGTTGGTGCATTCTACCAACTATTCCTCGTGACCTTTTATGGAATTTCGGCTGCCAAACCTGGAACGCGTATTGCATATCCCAACGAATTTAGGTTAGGTATGTAACTGGCGTCGCAGACAGTTACCCCAGTGCTGACATAACCTCACCGCGGCGTCTACCGATAATCAAAGGTGGTTCGTTCGGAGCCAAATGTTCTTTTTGAATTGTTATTTGAGCTGGTGCACTATGAAGATTCAATCCTTTCTCGAACTAATTTATATCTTAATTCGTTGCTTTTAACAGCAAAATGCTCAAGGAACTCAAAGTGGAGTAAATAAGGATTGATAAAGTATTTTTTTACAACTCCATCAGAGAGAGCATGCTCGTGGATATTCGTGACGTTTTAGATATTATTCGGGCATTGATTTAGGTCTTTTGTCGGTACTGAATGTGCGTAATATTTTACTTCGTTAATTTTGTCGTATCTGACGCATTTGTTGTGTACATTTTTTTTTGTTACTATACAATAAATCGTTATATGACAATATACAAATTTTGTATAGCACTGTCAAGCAATTGTCTTTACCATTGGATTTCACGCTTTGGTCCTGAATGATTATACACGCGAGTTACCGACCGAGGGTAATTGTTGTTAATAGAATCCTACTGCTACAATTCAGTGCTATAATTCATCTTGGATTCTATCCTATTCAATTTTTATACCGATCGTTGCTTAGACTGTCGTATTGGAACTCTGTAAACAGACTCCCTTGCACCAGAGAGGGACGAGACTGCGTTTCGAAGTATTGGGTTCAATTTAATTAATTTAAAAAAAAAATATCGTGTAGACCGTGGAATGTTGTTCTCGCACTGAAGTATGCTGATTAATTAAGCAGCTATTAAACTGCAGATAAAATTTTTAGGATACGTATAATAGAAAGATTTTTTCTACTGGCTGGATGTTTCCTTTTCATATAACAGCAATTGAATTCGAAAAATCAGTCGTTGTCAAATGTCAAAATCAGCTGTGTCAATTATATTCTTTAATGATAACTTTATAATATGCCGAATTTTAATACGCGTCAATGACAAAAGTAAGACCGCAGATATCGAAGAAAGTTTTTTAACTTCAACATTGCAGTGTATTATATAGAAATATATATAAATTTAATGAATAAATATTCCTATAAGAAAATGATAATATTGTCGCTGTTCTTGGCGATACCACCTACTGTTTATGGTATTGTACTGGTAGCAGTGTAGTGATACTAGTGCCGATAAAATAGCAGCAACTTTGGGCGGGTCCAAATCATCCTCCTTCATCCCGGTGTATAAAGGAGATAAAAGTGGGATCCTGGGACGCCGTGTAGCTGGGGACAGGCTAGATTCTAAAAGAATGAAATAACGGATTGGATTGCGGCCAACTGGCTAGACTCCAACCAATCCTAACCGGTCCAGGATGCAGGGTCGTATCAAGTATGGGGGTTCAAAATGGCCCGGCACAACCACTCGAGCATAATGCTGCACAGACGTGTGTGTGTGTATATATATATATATTTCAAAGCGTTTATACACGTGTAGGTGGCAGCACCATTGCACTGTAATGTACTAGCACTCCACTGCGCTATTCTACTAGTATATTTCTATGAAGTAACATTGAGAAAATCCCTATTCCTTTCTGTCTCTTGTACTTTGCTTTGGATATCACTACGTGCATAACTTCATGGATCTTTTAGCGACTGACCTATGATTTCTTCTGTATTATATTTTTCATTTCGTGCTATGATCTTAACGCTATCTTCCTCGTATGCTCCTGTCAGTTACATACACATTTTTATACATGCTCCTGATATTACTATGATATCGATTTACAGCATCTTGATCGATCCTGTAATCGATTGATTTCTTGAGAAACAATAAAAAATTAGTAATACCACCGGAATATAACAGGTTTTTCACACTATTGCATCGTATGATATTTACTTCTTTATAGAGGAATCTTTGAAATTTACTGATACGTATTTCAATAAATTTCTCGAAGCTTGTGGAATTTCGACGTTACAGTCCAGTTTAAAAATATGGAATTTATTAATGCGTTATGTCTAGTGGATATATTGATGGGTTATCGGCTATCTGCGAAAATAACTGAACGTCCCTTATCGGCGTTGAGCCGTCAATGCATTTAATCGTTTTAAATATAATTAGCAAATCCTCGTTGGACTGCCAATAGTAAGAGCAATGATTGCATATCGTCAGAGTATGCACATATGGGGCAATTTATTGCTCATGTTACATCTACTGGTCTTTCGATATATTCAATATATCTTATTGTCAGACACCCTATGCAATAAAGAGCTAATAATGCACTCGACTTGTTTCGTTTGATAATCAATCGGTCAGCTCAGCGACTGAAGCTTCGAACCCTTGTGAACTGTAGAGTGACGCAATCCGATGATTATCGTCTCGATATTATCGAGGGACTGTTCGATCGATTTAATTAATAAAGCTTCTGTGATCGTTTCAGCGCCGACGAAGGATTCGACGGCACTTATCCAACGAACGTCGTCGTCAAGAACAATGGAACCTGCTTATACGTGCCACCCGGTATATTCAAGAGCACTTGCAAGATAGACATCACCTGGTTCCCCTTTGACGATCAGCGCTGCGAGATGAAATTCGGTTCCTGGACCTATAATGGCTTTCAGGTATTCACTTAAATCATACCGATCCATACGATCCTTGATACAACAGTCTGTCCGATCTCTTAGCGTAACGTGTGATCTTTCAATTTCAGTTGGATCTGCAATTACAGGACGATGCTGGTGGTGATATAACTAGTTTCATAACGAACGGGGAATGGGATCTTTTGGGTAAATGCGGAGTCTGCAAATTTCATTATACTCATATGTGTACATGCGTGCATGTACGCGTATTGACGTACGAAAAGTCTAATTTGCTAATAACTCGTATGCTTATCGTGATAAAAATACTTGACAGTGATATATATATATGGGAATGAGATTTTTTGAAAAGTCATTATATCCTCTAAATGATTTCAGGTGTGCCTGGCAAGAGGAACGAGATTTATTATAATTGCTGCCCGGAACCGTATATCGACATAACATTTGTGGTTATAATTAGACGTCGTACACTTTATTACTTCTTTAATCTGATTGTACCCTGCGTCCTGATCGCGAGTATGGCTGTTCTGGGTTTTACACTACCACCTGATTCCGGCGAGAAATTATCACTTGGTACGTTGGAAGGATGAGCTTCGTGTTATTCTTGTCTTTTTTTTTATTACTCTTGAATAATAACTGTTACGCATAAGTCATTTTCTTGGTTCTATTCTCCACGGTTATTTTTCTTGTTGATACTTCTACTCGTTATGGAAACGAACGTATTAAGTCCTACGGTTGACTAGCTAATCCGTTAGCCAGCTCCAACAGTTTGAAGTCCGACAGGCTGCCGCAACGTTGACCACTTCTACTTGAGCACAAAGTTTACTCATGTTATATCCTACTCAGAAAGAGTTCCTAAAGCTCGCAGAAACCCAACAATAATTATACCGTCACGTCATGCACACAACTAACTACTAGAACACTGATGACCCAACGAAGCTGCTTTATGGAACTATCATACTAATGAGGAATTCTTGGAGTCCATATGACATAAATTACTTGTCCTTTTGTAGTCATTTAAAATATATATATTTTCAAGTTAAGGGCATGTTCTACACTTGCGATAATTAAGTAAGAAACTGCGATTACCTCTTAAGTAAAGAGATTGTGTATGTCGTCTTTTAGGTGTAACCATTCTGCTCTCTTTGACGGTGTTCTTGAATATGGTGGCTGAAACAATGCCAGCGACGTCGGATGCTGTGCCGTTACTAGGTGAGTTAAGGACTGGACTTGAAATATGGAAATTTCCAACAAAAAGAGACGCGGAGGAAGGGTTGGGGAGAATGAGAAAAAACGTAATGACGAGTAAAAAAATTCGTGCCGTGCCAACCATATGGATCCTTGACTGTCTCCTTCAAACAATAGGGATACTTCTTATACTTCTTGCTCTTCTACTAGCCCTCTTCTTCTGGAGGAGACACGAGGCAAATGATAGTGCCTATCTTTTTCACTATATCACTGTGCTCCAGAGAATTACTATCATTACTATCATCAGCAAGTCCTTCCGAGACTTTACTAGTATGCTCTTCTAGCTAGTCCTTGAAAAGGGTCTCGCATTTTTGTTCTGCTCTTAGTAATGGCTCTGCGAATCTATTAACTTTTTTCTTTTAATTGGTTCTTTTTTCTTTTTATGGAAAATTCGTTGAAAATTGATATTCGCGTATGTTATCTGTCTAAAGTGAAAATCGTTATTTTCAGGAACTTATTTCAACTGTATAATGTTTATGGTGGCCAGCAGTGTGGTCAGTACTATTCTCATATTAAATTATCATCATCGGAATGCAGACACCCACGAAATGTCTGAATGGGTAAATATATGTTTTTAATTGACGTAAACTGTATTTATAAGTGTCTAAGGAACATTGTGCATGGAAGTGTTTTATGCATTTGCCATAGCCAGGAAAATCTGTTCATTCCTATATTTTAAAGCACAAAATTAATGCTTTATGATTTTTATTTTTAGGTAAGGGTTGTTTTCCTATATTGGCTGCCCTGCATGTTAGGCATGTCGAGACCGATTGAGAAAGAGGAGAAGGATGCTCAAAAATCTCAAAAACCTTCTCCTGTTACCGGTAAATAAATATTATTTTTGCCTACCAAAAAAGAACAAGGTGTGAAATATATTTTTATTGACTCGCGGTTGTCCTCTTGTCGTTTCAGGTACCAGCAAGGCATACGGCGACCTGGAACTTCATCAGCGTAGTAGCAAGTCTTTACTAGCGAACGTGTTAGATCTGGAGGACAACGCATTGGCCTCCCACAATAATTTACTGAACAATGTCTATAGTACACCAGGGCCGCATCACCATACAATGGGCCATGGGCATAGTCATATCCACACGACGCCCCATCATCACCATAGCCACGCAGCGACAACGCCGCATCATCAACATTCTACGCCGTTGCCTCACTCTTCCTATCCCGGTCATCAAGTTGGTCATACTCCGCATCACCATCAACATCCTCCGGAGGCAGCTGCGCCCCAGGTTGAGACTATTTTGCAGAGCGCCTGTTTCTGTGCCAGATACGAGCTCATACTTATACTCAAGGAGATCAAGGTAATTTTATAGTTTCTCCATTATTGATCAATTGGTTCTATATTTAGTTTATTATGATAGAGATTCGTGTAAATATAATACATGGCTTCAGAATTTAACGAGAAAAGAGGAGGAAGCGGGAGAGTGGGAAGAATTCGCGACACTATCTATAGGTAGTAGGAATTAAATTTAACATTTTTCACGAAATAGCTACATACACTATGTTCAACATATAACAGTTAAATACAAAACTATTGTGATCGACCCACAACTGTAAATTCAAATTCAGAAGACTTTTTCTTACTAAATATCATAACGTGTTCCTTTAGAGTCGTGATCTATTGCTATGGACATTTTCTTCTGATTTAAGCTATTATTTTCCTCCAACATTAGAGATACAGGTAATTGAGTGATTGAGCTGATCTTCAGGATTTTTTGACTTGGGGTATTGCTTCGCTATGCTAATCTATCTGGGTAACTTGGTAAAATCACCAGCGGTTTGCTGACTCTTCGGAAACTTGGTTTCGCTATTATACGAATGTTTGGGAAGGCTTATTACTTTTTGAGCTGCGCTGATACAGCCAAGTCAAACATCGAAGAACCTTTCCAGTTGGCAATTGCTCTCTGAATAAGGAAACGACTGTTATTACCTCTTTCTCTTAAGTATCGACTAATTTGACATGGGCTTATTAGTAGTCGTGAACAATTCTTGAATCCGATTGTAACGGAACAATAAAATGATAGTTAGAGGATTTTGATTTCAATCAAGCAAACTATGGCAAACCTTACTTACGTAATTGGCTGGCTTCAGCCAACATATGCTTATCTAATGCAATTCCTTAATTCGTCACGGACGTAACTCGAACGGTCAGGGGTTCGAGAAACTATTAAAAAGAAGCGTACTTTTTAAAATATCTTTAAAAGCGCTGTCATGTATATCATAAACATTAAAAGGTGTTCAAATGTCTTAAAAGATATCGTGAACGTTTCAGACATATTTTTGTGCATTATGAAAAGGATACCTTTTTCGAGCACCTCAAACGTGCCTGTATCATTTGTTGTTTTGGTACTATGGCGATAGATAAATTAAATGCAGCTCTACATTGAGGCTTTAAGGTAATCTGAGAATATTGTTATTTCCCAGATAATCACCGACAAACTGAAGAACGACGACCTGGACACAAAGGTGACAAATGACTGGAAATTTGCGGCGATGGTGATCGACAGGATGTGCCTAATCATTTTTACTCTGTTCACCATCATCGCAACTATCACCGTCCTACTCTCAGCGCCGCATATAATCGTCACGTGATTTGTAAAGTTTAATTTACGTAGTGTGCACGTGGTCACGTGTCGTCATCACGCGAGCGAGGACGAAGTGATGATGGGGATGATTAGAGAATTCGTAAGAGGGGGAATGAGAGATGGGAGAATCGGAAAGAAGAAAAGAAAACGGAAGAGTCGATGCATATAATGGAAGAGGATCATGGAATTTTCAAATTTTCCTACTTTCGACAATGCAAAAGTGTTTTACTGCTGTCAGTCCGTGAGAAAATATGAGAACAAACTAGAAGCAGAAAAGTGGGATTAGAAATTGAAGCAATACGTATGCACTTCGTCTCACGAGATTTTCATTCAATAGGCAAAAAAGAAATGATAAAATACTATGAAAACGCTTTAGCAATATGTATTTAAAGAACCGAAATGAACGTAGTAGTGTTATACCTACAGGCAGATGACACACTGTCGTCCTGTGGACACGTTGCTGCGGTTTTGTGGTTAGGGTTGCATGCGTGCATTTCTTGCATAACCTACCAGATGCAATATTTTAAATGCATGTAACTCAATTGACGCATTAAATCCGCAGCTTCGTACCACACGCAGATGCGTGACACGCGTGACGTATCGTATACGTATATGTGTATCATAGTGTATATCATCAGGACTATGCTATATTTGGCGATTTGAAAAATTCTCTATTATAAAATTAAGTGTTGTAACAGTGTACGGGAGATTGGTTCGATGATTGAACAGCATTCGCGCTATGTATAATTATTGAATTTATATTTAAAAATTTCGTATATTGTCTATATAATTACACGGAATACTATTTCTACCTCATTTAAAAAGTGCAGCCATTTTTATGCTAAATAATCTTGAAATTTTCCAACATCCAATGTATCCCGTGCATGTATACGTTACGATACACTTGCGTGTTAGTATTAAATAGGGAGTAGGAGGTGTCCGAAGAATTTCTTACTAAAGAATTGATTTTTTGCAAGCTATTACGCGAGATGAGAATCTCTGGCTATTTGCGCGAGTGTGTGCCTGTGTGTGCGTTCGAGCGCGTGCGTGCGTATTTGTGTGTGCTTGTGAGTTATATGTTTGCATCTTCTTTTAATTTCATAGTTACCGAAAGTGTTTTTGCTTTTATTTTTATATTCTGTTCTTTTTGGTTGTTTTTTTTTTTTGGGTTCTTTATACGCTGGTTATCCATTCCTTTTTTGACTCGCTTTCTTCGATCGCACACGTGTATAGAATAACAACGGAGCTCTGTTGATTTTGCGTAATTGGGGGGCAGAATCATTTTACCCATATGAAATGAGAGAGCAGCAACAGCAGAAGGAAATCTGGAAAAACGGAAAATAATTAACGATAATTAATTAATTAATTATATTAAATATATATATGCAAAGCGCACACATTATACTCTCAATGACACAATGAACTGCCAAGGTGATTCAAATGCCAGTGAATTTTATTATCCGTATCACTAGTATGTACGTAAATGAAAGACACAGGACTTATTGACCGCGAATTAAAGATGAAGGTGTCGATGATATTGAGATGCTGGACGAAGATAGAATGAGGAAGAAATGTAAAAACAGGAAACCGGAATGAAAATAAATTACACTACATACACGTGGATAGACGTACAATTGTACACATACATACACGCAGACATATTCATACGAAAAATATATACATAATGCGGTTATATAGGGTGGCGTGGACTTCATAATTTTTTTTATTGGTTTCTTGGTTTTTAATAAGAAAATTTAAACAATCGGAGCACCGATTATAGTTGGCTCGCGGGTATTTTGGGCCTTAGTAACTCTCGTTGACTGAGAAAAGTTTTATGCCAATATTTCTAATTGTTACGGCGGAGGGAATTTTTTAAAGAATTTCAAAGTATTTTTTTCCCCCCTTAACCCTTAAAGTGTGTGGTGGAGTATCGGACACACCAACATGCACGTTTTTGTTCGAATAACGATAAATGTTGGGGCAATCATTTCATCGTTCTACATATCTGTCGCTTCTGTTGCTGTTTTCGTCTGTTCATTTCGCGTTTCTAAGGATTTATATTAATTTTACTATGTGTATTTATATAATCGTCCCATAATTTATAGTTTAAATGTTTTCTTTATTTCTTTTTTTTTGGGTTCGGAGAACCCCGCCACACATTTTACGTAATTATTTTTACCACACTGGCGAAGGGTTAAGTAATTTTACAATTCACGCTACTTGTTTAGATTAATGGGTCACTTCTCTGTCTTTTTAAACTTTTAAATAAAGAATACAAATGTAGAAATTCGTTCATTTACTTGTAAACGAAATTTCATTCAATATCTATTTTTGGCCATTTTGGTTTTACAAAGAATGCAATTTCAGAATAATTTTTGACGTTGTACTAATTTCGACAAATTTATGCTATATTACAAATTAAAAGCAAGGATTTGTTCGAATTTCGTAAGCGAACAGATTATCAGGACTGTTGAAAATTCAAAACTAGTTTGAAGACAGGGAGGTTATCCAAGAAATTTTGAATTTCAAGTACGTTTGGCCATCGGCAATGACGCGACAACCAATCACGTTATCTCTTAAATAAAATATTAAAAGTTATACCTTAATGTTTAAAATGAAAAAAAAAAAAAAGAAAAATAATAAGTCTTATGAAAGACAGAAGTTAAAAATTTGAGGAGTGCTAAAAAGGAAGTAGAGAGGAAATGAAAAATATTTAATAAAAGCTATTAATAATATCAATAGTAGTATTAGACGGAAGGTATAATGAGGGTGAAAATAAAGCTGAAGAAGGCAAGGAAATATTGCGAATTAACGTTGTTGATGATAAAATGTTACAAATAAAAAAATAAACGATAAAAAACGTAGAAGTGTGCGTTTTAAACGGTTGTAAGATATAAAATGTGAAAGTTACAATAATTTCGGAAAAAGTTTTAGATTGTTGCGCAACAAAGGCAGATAGTAAGAGAGTGAAGTAAAAAGTTAAGAATGAGAATAGCCATGTGGAAAAATACAACTGGGGTCGTGCTCTGGTCAAAAGCATTTCACTTACGTCAGTTTGCAATTCAGTGTATGAAATTTTGATGTCAACAGTGAGGGCTACGTTTTGCAAGTGTAACTAATTGTGTCTACTGAAGGACATATTGAAAATGTGGAAACACGGATATTTTTTTGTCATAAATTTGGAACTTTAAACGTTTGATTCCTTAAAATTCTATAAATTATCGAAAACTTTTTCTTCGTTTTGTATACACTAGCATTGTCGATGGTCTTCGAATCTCTGATCTAATAACTGTGAAGGGAGTAGTAGAAGGGCAGCTCTTCTACGTTTCTTCTCGTTTTGCGAACGGAGGGTGTGCATGAGAAATGGAATTAGTAAATTTATTATTTATAGAAGCCTTACCGTTAGGAACGTACACATTGCGAAACAAAGCAGATATTATTCTTGTACGGAATCTAAAATAGTAAAGTACGAAAACGGAACGGTTCTCTTAAATCAAAACGAATGATATAAAACAATGAAATTTGAAATTCTATTCGTATCAGAAAATTCGTAAAAAAATGTAATTTACTTCAATGCATTTATTATATAGCTTTTCTCATATCAGACAAACGAGTCACATTGGTGTCAAAATTCGGATAACCAGACGTTCGCTCGACATAACCAATCAACGATTTGGTTTTCTAAGTATTTTGACTATTACGAGTCGTCTAATAAATCTAGGAAGTTCGCTTGTAAAACTTCCTTATATTCCGTACGGTAATGAGTAATCAATGGAAGTTATTGACTTCTTCGTGCGTGTTTTTCTTTGACAAATTATTCAACGATCCCTAATCGGTGGACTTCTAAACGCATGAGTGCACATGTGGTCGCGACTGAGTATTTTCACGAGTTATAATCCTTTGCGAGACTCGTAGTAATTTTTCTTGCAGCGGCAAAGACGTTTTATTTCTTTTTCGCCATTATTGTTGAGGAGAATTTACAAGACTTTGCGACCAGAAAATAAATATACATACAGACCGTCCGAAAAGTCCCGTATGAGAATTCAGAAGTCAATGGTACATATAAAATTGAAAAATTTTAATCGGTTTTAAAGAAAGTTGCAATTAAATACTGAAAATTTCCACCAATCAAATAAAAATGAGGAAATGCTATGCCAATTCGATGCTGTAATAATTTTTGTCGATCAGCTAACGCTCTTGATTGGTGAAAATTTTCAATTTTTAATTTCAATTTCAATCAATAAAAATGTTTTAATTATGCAAATACCGCTTTCTTCAGAATTTTACGACGACTCCAGTGGTATATGTATATCTGATATCGAACTTTTCGTACACCCTGTATATAGGAGCTTCTTTAATTTCGTACAACTGGCTGTCATTGAGTATGAGAAGGAAAAGTGTTGTTGGTAGGACAAAAAGAAATACCGAGGAAGGTAACGGAATGGGAGGCAATAAATGAGATGGATTAAAAAAGTTTCTGAATTAAAAAAATCGAACTATAAAACATGTACCGCTAAACATAATCTATACATATTTAAACTATCGAATGCTAAATAAATAACAATGAGAATCGTATGCGTATTGTTAAATGCAAAAGGCGAAACGTGAAATAATGAATGAGAAGGAGAAATAATCGACATAAGGCGAAAAAAATACGACAAACTCGTTAACTCGATGATCAATAATCAATAATCGAGTACTCAAATGAGAAATGAAAAAAAAAAGTGCTAGCATATATCCGATACTAGCGGCGTAGGTAGCGTTAATAATTAAACTTTGACAGTAATTCCTAGGAGGTGGTTTTACGGTAGATGATTTAGGTAGAGTTTAGGGTCGAACTTTATCCAGGTCACTTTCTCTCTAAACCAAAGAATACCAAATGGTGAGGATGCTAATGTTGACATTTTTTGAAAATATCCCCTAAAGTTGGAAATTTTCTAAAAAGGCTATTCGAGTGAATGATGGAAAGGGTTTGTCGAAGGTATTTGGAAAATAATTGCAAGTGATATCAACAATAATAACGATAACGAAATGATAAAAAGGAAAATTTTTTTTTCTAAACGACATAAATATAAACAACGTATTCCACTGAATATACAGGGTGTTCGTTATGAAACGCACTGTAGTAACACCGTTGCATTCCTTGTCAAATTCTAATGAATACGTGTATTTTCATTTTTTATTTCATATATCAAAATTTCGAGATAATCAAAGTTGAAGTTGCAGTAGTGCGACCAATCAGAACGCGTTGAAACGGAGCGTAGATGACGTCGCAAGGCAGCCCGCAAGGCCTGCTTACACTAGGCCAATAACACTAAGAGTAACGTCGTAGTCTTCCTGTTTATCTGCATGTTATTGAGTGAGATGCAAGAGACGATATTCTTAGTGTTATCGGCCTAGTGTAAGCAGGCCTTGTGGGCTAACTCGCGACGTCATCTACGTTCCGTTTAAATGCGTTCTGATTGGTCGCATTACTGCAACTTCAACCTTGATTATCTCGAAATTTTGATATATGAAATAAAAAATGAAAATACACGTATTCCTTAGAATTTGACAAAGAATGCAACGGTGTTAGTACAGTGCGTTTCATAACGAACACCTTGTATATATCCTTTGCATATCCGGTGGGACATTTTATAGATATTGTATATTCCATAAATGTCTAATGGATATTAAGTGGATATAATATTCTTTTGCATGGATCCGAATACAGTGTGTTTTATCAGAGGGATTTTCTGTGAGGACTTTTACATCAACAGTATAGTAAAATATAAATAAATAAAAAAAAAGAATGAAAGAACAATGTAATGAAATATATAAAACATTTTTCGTAATTTAGTAAATTTACTGGAAACAGTTGATTAATCAATATTATACATTAACAATTTTTGCTTCATATAAATCGGATGCAAAGTTATGTTATGCCGTAAATATGGCTAGATATATGATAACAGTGAATAAGACAAATGGGAAGGAAAGTTATGTTTGTTATGTTCCCCAAGTATCGTCCTCGCTAAAACGCCCTGTATGATACAATTATGACGAAGAATATACGAGAGAATGCATGATGGAAAGAGAACGTGCGCGTAAGAAAAAGAGCGAGAGCGAAAGAGAGAAAGAGAGAGAAAGAGGAAAAAAAATACTTGTATGTATGTACGGACAACTCAGTCTAACTCTTCCGTACTTTTATCCTCTATACTTTAAAACGAAAAGATCGTCACGAGTTCTACAGGTCGTTCCAACAGTCCCATACTAAACTTAAAAGAGTTTGCCATCGCTATATACGAGATCGTAGTTGTTATGGGTAACTCAAATTATGGCGCGCTGCTCTTTTTTTAGAAATAACGGTCAACGCCATCTGGCGCTCGTGCGGCGAGAACTTGTGCTGCCATCTTGCGTCTATATGCGCGAATTAATATAGGTTAAATATTAAACGAATTACAAGTAATCTTTCGGCTTGTATGTATGCCTGGTTATCAATAACCTTAATGTAACGAAACAAAGATAATCGACCAGTCATGTGCATAACGTGCTCCTTAGATTATTTTTATGGATGCACATTTGTAAGTCGCTCATTTTTTTTTTTTTACGTTACGTCATATGTACATCTACAGCTATCGGCAAGCACGCTTAAGTTATCTGTACTTGAACCGATTCAGTGGGCTCGGCTAATAATTTTTCTACTTTTCCTCCTAATTAAAATTATACTTTTGGCTGCTCTTAAACACTTGGCTTCACAGGCGTGCTAATAGCGTGCTAAAAGCGTGTTAATAATTAATAATAATTATATAAATAAATGAAGTTTTCGAATTTTCGGGGACTGATGGTGCGACTGCACGACTTCGCGATTGTCACGTGACTTTTAAATTAATGCCTCAGCGACGGCCCGGTCTAATAATAGTAAATTCATATTGAAGCTAAATTAAAATTTGTTATATAAGGTATATTTCTAATGCCGGGCTATCACGTGTGGCAACGTTGATCAATATAAGAAATCCCTGTTAAATGGTGAGTATATAATCGCCGCATTGTAATTATTATTATCATTATTACGTTATTATGAATTGTTGAAATAAACCAAGTGAAAATAATGATGCGTATTTATTCGCATCAAAATTAATAAAATTCCTGTTGCGTTCTGTACTAAGGACATATTTGTATATTCTATGTCCTGAAAATAAATCCCTTTCCAGAAATGTCAGTTTCCAATTTTCTCAACACCTTAATCGTTTTTTCAATTTTAATTCAATAGTGCAGTTGAACCTTCCAAGGATCTTAATATAATATTAGACAATTGGTAGTTACAGTATAATTTAATTTTATTGGATAATCGTTAACATTGTACTCGACCTAGTTGCGTTACACGATTAATCATCGAGGTTAATTACTTATCGCTAATATGTCACGTTATTGTTTGCTATCACGAATATCTATCACTTTATGGATTACCTAAATCGTAGGAAAATTATAAGAAACCCTATTTTACTAAATGATTTGCAATTGGATCGTTATATGACATAGCATCCAATATCGATGAGTGTTCTCTTAATTATTAATTATCGTAGGCATTTAATTAACTAATTTTAACGCGATAACAAATCGATTAACATTTGCTGCGGACTAACTAGAAATAACGATGTAACATTAATATTGTTTATTAATATTAACAACTTTCGTATAACGGAAGCTCCTATGATTCATGAATCCTTTTTTCACGACTTTTTTCCCAATCATTTCTCATCCAACATATTACAGATCACACACATACGCACTGATGGACCACGCGCGCAATCATTCATATTTATGATTTGCGACTGATTATTAATTGGTATGAATATATTTGTCATTCGGATTAATGATATCTATAATGAGGAATAATCAAATGCTTCTTTTTTTTTCTAAAAGTACTTTTGGACTAGGAGAGTGATTTGACTTTTTTTTTACTTCAGCTGGCGCTTCATTCATACGCGCTTGACTGATTTTAATTTTTTTGACATCGATTAATATTTACAAGGTGGAAGCGCTCCAATGATTTTTGACAATTTTGTCTTTCGCCTGTATTTAATGATCGGAATGATTCGTAGCGACATGCAATTATTATTTTTTGTTTATTTTGAAGCAATTAAAGAATCTTAAGAAATTAATAACAAGTACAATTACCTCAATTGTCTCAGTGATTAATTATGAATAGACTGGAACATTTTCACTAATAAATTCTAATTATTGTTTTAATCGAGGAAGACTGTATCCGGTAGTTAATTGGATACTACTAGATATTGAAAAAAATATTAAAATAAGATGGAAATGTATTATCGACGAAATATTTCGGGATATTAAAAAATTGATTATCGTACTGACACTCTACAGATGATGTTATTTAGAAACATTACACTTTATCACTAAAAATTGCGTTAATTATCAAAATGTCTTTTTCAGAATTTTGTTGGTACACTCATCTTAAAATCGTTGTGTGACTTTCTCTCCTCTATACGTTCTTTTCTGAACATATACTTCGCCAGGTTGTCTTTAGATAAGACCGCATAAAACACGTGGTGGGAGTATTTTAAAGGGTGGCGATCGTCAAAAAAAAAAGATCATGCACATGGGCCAGTTCACATAAATGCAAATGTCTGTACAAAATTGTCAAACTGATAAACTCGTTAGATTACAAATTAGAGGAAAGACCAGAGGTACTTCCGGTGTTAAAACGAGACTTGCATAAAATCGGAAACAGTGTTCCATATTAATCTATACAAAATTTAGTAGATGGACTTACTGAATCGATTGGATTCTAATTTGTAAGAAAGATTAAGTTCTAGATATCAATGACATTGTAAGGTTTGCTGTTCTGGAGCTTCAGCTTTCATAGATTCAGTTTTCCACCAGAAATATATGATTTTTAAGTGAATTGATTCCTTTTTGCGGCGGCGAATACATAAGTCGTTATCGAATGCTTTACGAAGTGATACCTTAAGGCAAACCTGTTTGCTCCTGTATTTATCCATTTGGATTACCTGTTATTCCAAGATAGTCATCCCTTCGTGAATGGCTTAAGAAGTTAACTATCTTATTTTCCACGATATATTTCGATTATTCGATCTTGATCGACGTACTCGAAGATATGCGGTGCGTCCATGAGAATCCCAATGGTACCAGCAGTAGTTACTATGAAGAAGATGTAGAGCTGTAAGCGATCAATCACCATGGCCACGTACTTCCAGTCCTCGCGTGTCTAGACCAAAAATTGAATTACATTCTGATTTAAAAAAAAGTGATAAAAACAATTTTTGATATACTTGTATGTAGAGATCCTCGTTTCTAAGATGTTCGGCAATAAATTCAACAGCCTCGGTAGCTTTACTGGCTTCTGGACTCAGCAAAACTGAATCGGAACTTTCTGATCCTCTGCGGTCGCTGAGTGGTTCGCTTCCGGGGCCAGCAGTGCTAGATGCGCCTGTCGTATGATGAACTTTCCGATTGATCTTGCAGTTGGGGTGATGCAAATCAGAAAGTTCCATGACTTCCATTTTCTGTTTGCCTAACGAGGATGGCAGGTGCTTTGGTAATTCTGTAGGACTTCCGGAATATGTTGAGGTTGGTAACGTGACGTTTGGTATTTCCATCATCCATCTGAGACGTGTCTTTTTGGGTCGTCTCATCAGCAGGACAGTCGGCAGATATTTCAAGAAGATTTTGCGAATCAATTGTGGCATTCGGTGTGTTCGGGGTCCGCGAAAGTTCCAATTGATGATGATCACCGTCACGAGGATGCTCACAGTGTTCATGATGAACGTGAACAGTAGATATTTAGCTATCAATGGCAGCACGAGGGATGTGGGCGGTAGAATTTTACTGACCAACAACAGGAACACGACCAGTGACAGAAGAATACTGATACCCAGTGTAACCTGTAAAATTTTTCATAAAATTTTATCACTTTCACCTAGGCTAATACAATGGGATACAATGTTGAATTACAGATTAAAGAGCAGGCTAAGGCATGAGTCTCGCATTTAGATCAGTCAGTATACAAATTTCCTTGCTCAATTCATTGTTTGCAGTGATAGTTGCCATCGAATTCTCCCATTTAATTGTAACTCAATTAGAATAAAATGTTAAACTGATATGAATTTGTGCATCTCTTGAATCCTACCTTCTCGCCAGCTTCAGCCGGTAAGTAGAACACCAAGACACAGAGGAACGAGATAAGTACAGTCGGCAGAATCAGATTTACGGTATAGAAAAGTGTCTTTCGGCGAATTATTATGTAGAAAGTTATATCGGTTTCTGTTGGGAAGTCGCCTTTATACACGTTTAGGTATGCCGGGACACTTATGATGTCCCAGGTGCCGCTTTTCCAGTAATCCGAGAGATCAACGAAATTCTTGTCATTGTAAAGTGCCAGGGATACTTGGTCGCCATTGAAAGTCCATGAGCCAAATTTCATAATGCATGTCTGCTGGTCGAACGGGAAGTACGTCACGTCAATGGTGCAGGAACTTTGATAAATAGCTGGAGGTACCCAGAGTACTTCGCCATTCGGGTAGATGAGGACGTTACTTTTGTACCGAACTTCGTAATTGCCATCGGCACTGTAAGGACGTCAGTATTAATTAAGTAATTATTGAATTAATTGAAAGTAAGATTAACCGGACAATAATGGAACGTATAAAAATAATTTATTTTATGAAATTAATTTATTAAAAAACTTCTTGTTTCATAATAACCTAATTCAATGTTTATTAACTTACTTGTTAAACAGTACAATGTCGGGTTTCCAAACTTTGTCAGGTGGCAATCGTAGAACACCAATGCCACCGTAATCGGCCTCGTCCCATTGTAATTGATAGTCGGTCCATACGAATCGTAACCAAACATTTGATTTCATGATCTGATTTTTTTCATTCTAGTTCATGCCAGAGAAAACAAAATCAGTTGAATGTAAAACCACGTAGAAATCGATCGGTAATACATTGAAAATTCAGTGAACTGGAGATCATAAAATGCCTAATGAATAATCTATGCGCTTATATTGAATTCCACGAGTAATTAAAAAATACATACGACGTTAATGAGTTGTACGAAGGCCAGACCGAATCTCACGTCGACTTTCTGTGTCATGTTTTGGACGGGTCTGATGAGTTTGTTGTATCCTCGAAAAAGGTCGCGGACCAACCTCTCTTCATCTTCGGAGCATAGACCTGAGGATGATTTTTTTTTTAAAAAGACAAATGCACTTCCTTTCGACATTTCAAGTAAACGGAAATAATGAGTCACAGGTGGGAACACTTACCAACACAGAAAACTGTGGATATCAGTAAAAACCGCACGAATTTCGAACAAAAATACATTTTGGGCGGGTTCGAGCCCAACCCGCCTGTTAAGCGGTATTTCTCCACCATCGACTTCTAGTATGGACTGCGCATAGCCGTCGGTTCTTGTGCCAAATTTAAAAAAGGATGAAGCTAGAGACAGACAGGGCTGTAGTAAGCCATCGAATAGCCCCACATTTATTTTTGTCAATAAAACCTACCTGATTGTAATTGTTCTTCGAGGAGATGAGAGATATTTTTACTCACGGATCGGGACTTCTGTCTAATAAATTCACTTGTATTGAACTAACGGGTTATTTAATTTCAAGTGAATAGGTATGGTCCCAATACGACGTATGGCTGGTGGTTTCAACAATCCTAGGCACAGGTTTCAGCCCCCACTTGTTTATATAACTTGGACCAATCACATAATTCTGTCTGTAGCTCTCTCTCTTTTTAGATGTTGACATTTAACTAAACAGCGGCTAGGATGTGCATAGCAAGGAAAGTACGGAGGAGGTTAGAGAGAGAGAAATTACATTCTACCCTTAGAGTTTACAGAAATACATATGACGCACGCGTCGTGAAACTAAACGACAATACCGCCACCTGGACGCATCGCGACATTATTAAACCAAGTCGTCTAGCCTACTTCGGACTTTCTCTGCTATATAACTATAGTAAAGACCTCCCCATGATTATAATCAATATCGTCTGAAGGGATGAAAGCCAATAATGTAGAATCCGACATTACCGATTGAGATGCGATTCGGCACTGCCATCTGATGGGTACAACTAGACACTTGAACGGTCATTGATTAGACCTTAATACCAATGCGGTCGACATCTGGGATCCGAATGGCAAACTGTTCTTATGTAGGGCAAGTAGTTCTAAACATGACTGCAAGAGCCATTCCCGCTGAGCTTACTCGATCAAATAGATTGTACCATCAAATATCGTCCTTCGAAGTGTCCCGTCTTTCGTTACGATGAATTCTCGAATGAGGGTAGACCTTGCGCGTTTAACTTACCCTTTGCGTATTTTTCATCGCTCGATAAGATTTCCTTTTGCTCCTAAGGTTTCTCCTCAGAGTACTGAGCATGATAATCTCAGGACTCGCAGCTTTTGTCTTAAATCCTTTCCCCTTGTGACCCCGTAAAGCATATTTCCATCTTCAGTCTACATATCTAATTCATGACTAAGGGTATATTCTGTAATTGAACTATGGTTGCGGTTATTAAATTTCAGCCAATGATTAATTTTTTTCACCGGCTGAAATCAGCGGATGTAATTAATCACTTATACTTATAATCAATTAATAATTGCTATATCTTAAATTGTTGCTTGTACTTACACCAGGTTACATCTCATAGCATTCTGGAGAGGCTGAATTTGTTGCATCCAATGTAAAATGTATTGTTAGATATATTTAGAATTTTGAACGCAACAGACGGGTAATTAATTTGATTTCTAATTAGGTAATTCAACGCTAGTAAATTTTTCTCTTTTCAGAGGTAGTTTAATGGATTCATCTTGCACGTGGCACAAGCAGTAACAACTAACAGAGGAATTATTTAAATTATTTTTATTTTTTCTTAAGCACCACTAAAAATATTTAGGATTATAATAAATACTAAATAAAATAACAATTAATATTAAACATTGTCACATTACCGACATTATCATGGAATGGCATGATTCACAGATTAAAAACTAGTAGACAGTCTCAACTAATTACAGCTTCGTGCACCTTTGCTTATAAACGTGTAACAATCATATAATTTGGATACGTATTCATTTAAATATTTATTTATTTGTTGTGTACAGGCTCGTTTTAATTCTGTAATCAATTTGGTTCATCCTAGTTATAATTGTCTAGAAACAAATCTTCTAATGGTATTATAGTTTATTTAGAAAACATATGTATTTATATTCAGAAAACTTATGTTTGTCATTCATTTTGATTACAGAACTAAACGTAATTTTCATCTTGAATGAATTAGCTAGTTATTGTCTAAATTACAAGATCACAATTCTCCAAATATCATTTTTTTAAATTACTTCTACACTCATCCGGGTCCGAGAGTCTCTCCGAAATTTTCAGATATTCTGAATGCTGAGCTTTTCAAAGAAAAAAGTTCTCTTTCCACGCTGATAGCTCCCCAGGATGAAATTCCCTAGGTTTTCACCTTTATCCACGTTTCCCTGGCTCTATTCCTGATTTAATGGAGGAAAAAAAACGACCACTCCGCACTAGCCAAAGTTGTAGGGGCGTGAATTCGTCTGGTCTCAAATTATAATCCTAACGTACTAAAAAAAGAATGTGTGTCTACATAGGATTACCCGTTTTATAGTATCATTATAATCACTCTTATCAATGTGGGTGATATACAATAACGGATTAACGAAGAATCAAAAACTTCGGAGATTTCATTCGCTTTCATAGTTCATCAATTCCGTTTTCACACTGTCACTATCTTTGGTCGTGTCATCACTCGGTGAAAAGGCAACTTTCGTATAGGAATAAAATTTGCTCACTTGCCTCCTCTTCTGAATTACCAATACACATCGGTACATAACTACGCTAGTAAATATTACTAAATTTACTACCAGCAAAATACACATCCAGTAGTACCAACTGGTAGTCCTGACTCTCCGGGCTATTGTCGTGAGAACACACTGGGATACAGTTGAAGTTTCCGATAAAAAGCTTGCATCCTCGTGACAGGATGTGCACTGGTCGTTTGCAGGACCGATGCAGCTTGCACATGAGTAGTGACAGGATGCACATTCCGTGTTGGTTTCCGTGAAAGTGGCATAGCTTCCAACTGGACAGCGGCGAGAACAATTTCCTTGGTATATATACCAGCCGGAATTGCATTCTGAAAGATACAAAAAATATTAAAGCAAAAAAACGAAATGTTTTCTTCGCGATGAGAAAAAAAATCTTACACAAAAGTGGAACGAGATAAAAATTCACATTTATGCAAAATAAGTTTTTCAAATTGATATAGAAATCACATATTTTTTTTTACTAGACGTACAGATATTATCGCAGGTAATTACAATATTGAAAATTTTTAGAACAATTAGCAGTCGAGAATTATTAAGGTCCATCGTTATAGGTAGGTATTATTAAGTTGAAAACGTCAAATGCGGAAAAACTATATGAGAAGTTTTGAGGTTATTCATTATTTTTAGTACTTATTAATAGCAATAGTATAGAGTAATACTTCTTCCCAAACATAAGTATATTTTATTCTACAAAAGAGAAGTGCAATACTAATAAACGTCTAAGAAGCAAAAAACTACCGACTACTTGTAAAACCTACTTAAGGAATTAATAGTAATATAAAAGATAGAAACAGAAGTCATAATCAGTTAAAATTAACAGCCCCTAAGTATAAAGTCCTAAGAAAACGAGAAATTGTGAATTATTTTCACATCCTTGAAATTCTTATCCACCGGACGAGCCATATCCTTCGTTAAGGCCTTCATGCAATTACTCAGGGTGCAAGCTGCAACGATAATATCATCTTCTCAAAGTTCTAGCTTGCTATGTACGTATCTCGTAGAACTTTAACGTTTCTGCTTAATGTGGGGAAAAATCAATGAAACACGAGGCGATGGCTAAGACGACAAAATAATTGCAGCAACCTTACGAAGAAGTAGTCGTAACGTAGCTTTTATCTTGTTTGAGAAATTGAATTGCACTGAGCATACAGAAACTGATTGGCTAGATTGCGACTATAATAAAAACGTATTTTACTTTACTTTCTTATAAACGTCACGCTGTTCTAAGGAATGCAAACATAATTACAAAATAAGTGTAAATGCCGTTAATTGCAAAAGCAAAGCGGAAGCAGCATAAAAAGCTCACTGTTAATCAAGCTAATTAGTGTTAGTTAGAAGGCAGAATCATAACGTTAGATAGAAGTTTAAGTAAAATTGTGATATGAGAGTGAGTGAGAGAGAGAGAGAGAGAGAGAGAGAGAGAGAGAGAGAGAGAGAGAGAGAGAGAAATGAGAGTCTAGACTCACCGTGCTGGTGAAGCAATTTTCAGGAATGGGTTCGTATTGGTTGCAGATGGTGTTTGGATGAGGATGTGGTCGTGATAGTTGGTGATGGTTGGTAGTTGGTAGTAGTTGGTGATGGTTGTGGTGGTAGCTGGTCTGAGAAATTCTGCACCGCCACCACGAAGACACTGGAGCCTCAGTGCGTTTGGCAACCTGCATTGCTGGACCAAGAGAACTGACAAGATGGTCACAGCTTACATTTAGTACCTTTGCCGTACGGGCCTTAGCTCAGATGAAATTGTGTTTTAAGATATGTCATAGCTTCTAGATCATCTTGTTATTGGAGTGACGAATGTAAAAATTATAATTTTTCAATATGAGTTAAAAACGACCATTGGTTAAAATGAGATTGAATCTGGCCAGTTCTCATTAAGGCTCGAGGTGTATCAAATTAATAAGTTCACAGTAACATTTCGCTAGAGTTTTTTTTTAATCGGTTTCAAAATGGCATTTCATAGCATTCCTTCGTATGGAGGTTTCGCGAGATTTTATTTTCTGTCACGTAAGTATACAAAGAAAAAAAAAAAAGAATTTAATAAGAAGAAGAACATTTTTCTAAACGTGCTACGAGATACGAGCTTATAGCACGTGCTAGATGACATTCCGAAAAGTGCATATACATTTCACGAGACATACGCTGAGCGCAAGCGCACATGGCCTTGGGGTGACCTGTTAAAAATTAAAAAGACAGGGATGTTAGTTTTCAATCACAGCTTATTTTTTTTTATGTTTGTACATTCTTGCAGACAGCTTGGCCGACGTCGCGAATCTTGGTGTGGTATGCTAGAAGGATAAAGAGGCCAAAGCAAATCGGAATCGAATAGAAAAAAAAACCATTCTAGAACTTGTAACGATCAACGCTCAAGTAGAGACATTGCAAAACAATGGTTTTCGAAGCAACATAATGGGACGTATCGGAGAATTCAATTTCTCGAGTTGTTTTGTTTGCCAGAAGATAATGAGAAAATAAAAATTTGATGATGGCGAAAATATGTACTAGATGATTTGAAATTTCTCTCGTTATCCAGGATAATCGTTCCCATTTTTAATTCATTCGTGATATACAAATTTGTCAATTGTTGTATATAATGATCATAATAGTTTCGATTGCTTATATATGTATATATTTATATATATATATATTGTTATATACATATAAATATATTTATATTGTATATATTCATAGTTTATTTATATTTGTATATATAGCCGAGCTCGCTCGCACCTCTGTCAACACTTTTCCGTATAGTTTTATCATTTTTTTTTTATTTATTTTGCGCCGATTTACCATACTTTTTCTTATTATATTCAATCTTTGTTTGGTTATATGGCGTAAAATTATTAATGAAAACGGTCGCGGTAAATGATCGAATTGCCGCGTGTTAATTGGCAATTGACGCGAGTGTGCGCGCGCGTGACCCGTAAATCATCGTGGAAACATTTCATTAACTTAGGATATGTCTCCCAACCCATCCCAAACCCGGCTCCAAGCAGATACATTTTACATTTTACATATACAAACATTTACAGTAGATACATCGTATTTATGCGGCTTGTCGACATCACGAGCCAACAACCTCGCGGACACGTGCACGATTATTTTGAAAATTACGAAACATTTAACTATCCGCGTGTACAAATTTTTCTTCTCCAACTCGCGATACAATTTCGAAATGTCAAAGCCGTCCGGCATGATTATTGGCTCGATAGGGCAGCCGTCACGAGTGGTACATTTGGAAGACCCGTGACGCATGAGGGAGCGGCAAATAAAATGAGGCAAATTTTATGAAGCGAAACGAAAATAAATTTACGAATCAGTGCCTAATCTATTTATTTATTATACGCTACTCGATAAACTGATTCGCATTATAAAATTGCTTTTGTTCAGGTGATTCGACTTTTACGTAGGAAATTAATGTCATTAGTCAAGTCTTGAAACGGTACGGATTACCGGCTACTATGTATTGGTCGAATTTCCTGAACATTAGATGACATTTATTACTGTCTATTTGGAAATAATACTTTTTTTTTGCATTTTGTCACGTCTATTCTACGGGAAGTCGAAATTAAAAGTTTATTGCGCAAATTTCATTAATATCCAAATTTTATCTGCGGCTCGTATAAGGAACGACTAAGTTCACTTTTCGCGATATCACACGTAACCTAATGGAGACTTATACTCGTTACACTCGTTCTGCGCTCAGATTATAGATTGTATGTACATGTACTCCTGCATACGATATACATATATACATATATAGTATACTGCGCTTTCCCATTTTTCGTAATTCTTAGGTTCTTAGGTTAAGTCGAGATTTTGGAAGGAATATCAAGAAAGCCATGTCTAATACTTTGGAATAGGCCAGATGCGCTGAACCCTTGGCGGCTGTAGGATTCATTATCTTATCTTATCTTTTGGATACTTTTCTTTTTGTTATTTTCAGAATATTTTAAGTTTTATTTTCATTCTTGGTAACGATGCATTTTTATTATATTTCTTTCACTCTATGTAAGAATTTTATCCGTTGGTATTTATTTCATTTTACGGATAATGGTGAAACAGTGAATATTTATGGTTATGCTGAGCTTTAACCTTCCAAAGTCATTTGGACGAAAATTGATTAATCAATTTGGTTTGAGTGTTAATTTGACTTCGTCATTATTAAATGATATAATGAAAAAGTGCTTTTCTTCGCAGTTGGGCAATACTCTTTGCTCACATTTAACGTTCATTTGTATGCATAATAATTATTGTACAGACTGTTTAATTAGATTGATAGAATTAATTTTTGTTTTTTCAGATATGCATACAGCAATGTCTTTACTGCGTGACTATATTGTTATAGATGAGATAATAATTATGAAGAAAAAAAGAATCAGTGGGATACAACAATTTTAGTAATATGCGGATAATGCATGATAACGTAGAAGTTTGTAATTTTCAGAAATTGGGAGCACATTAATTTAAGGAATAATTTTTTTCGAAATTTTACGTCACTGTACAATTAACTTTATCGATCCAACTGGCGCAGCCTGTAATAGTGTTTATGTTAACGGGTGCGTATTTGTCAGAAAATTAACGTAATATAATGTATAATCCATAACAATCTCATGAAAATCAACCCATATCTCTCAACGCGTGAAGATCACACGTGCAAAAAGAAAATTAAGCCCGAGTCATATTTGTTAACGATAAGAACGTGCTGGGAAAGAGAGTGCAGAGTTTAATCGAATATGATCATTTTAGAAATAGTTAGGATTCTGAAAAAATAAGTCTCAGTTAAAAGAATATATGTTCCATGATATTTATACGCGACACTCTCATTAAGTGCAAACACATGTGCATTTTTTACCCCATCGCTTATAAATGTTAAAAATGCCAATGTTTCTACTGTTATAACATAAAATTGGAACTGTGACATGCGCGTGACTATATATATGTCATAGACACTGACATCTTCCCAGATACGCAATAAATCTTAAATGACAGTTCGAAGGTCATATTATTTGTTTAAATTAAAAAATTTTCATTAACTTCCAGTTTTTCTTTTTTACAATCTACTATCGTGATCCCATGGCATTCTTATTGCGATAAATTATCAAATATGTTTAACGATATCTAGTTCTGATTATCCGTCCAATGAACAGAGCGGCGGACGTAAACGAACTTAATACTGATTAGGCGGAGGCTAATTAAACGTATGAACTGTTTAAACACTCAAATGCGACCAAATGTTAATAAGACTGGGTCTGTATTTGCAATTAGGTCAGCGTAATTGAAAATTATTCTGTTTTGTGGTCTGCTTTGTTGTTCGATTCCGAATGTCTAGTGCAAAACAAGCCTAACTGGGTACTTATTTTGTAGCAATAACTTCATGATTGTTTTGCATCGTCATTAATAACGTATCATGAAACAAGAATGATATAAAAGCATCATGGAGACGTTTCCAAAAGAAAAGTTTTCATTTTCAATTTTTTCTTTTAACATTCCTATTCGTTATAAACACCTTAACTCTACGTTGGGATATACATAGTTATTCACTATCTGTATCAACTGAAGTTGGTGTCACTATAGGAATAAAATGTATGCGACTAACTTCAGTTGATACACTTGTCATGAATAATCTTATACATTGGCTGCGCGATACTGCTATTAATTAATAAGGTTACTGATTCAAATTGCACTTTGTATTTGATTTAGCCAGTCGCATCGTTGAACGTTAACGACAATGAGCACTCGGAAAATGACAGTGAATTTTTATTAATCACGACGGACGTCATTGGCGGGAAAAATTGAGATGAATAAACTGAGAAAAAAGATGTGTCGAAAAATTCATTCATTATTTCGATTAACGATTTTTTTCGACTATTTTGCAATTCTGTTGTATTTCTATTCTTTTCTTAATTGTTTTTATATTTTAAATTATTTATCAGCTGCCTCGTATGTTATATTAATTTTTTTTATGTTGATTTTTACAAAATTACCCCTACCTCCCCGTAATGTCTTTAGCTATAGTTTTCTTTGCCACTTTTCATTGTTTTCTTTACTTCCTTATTTATTTAGTCTATTTCAGCGTGTCTTGCGGCGAGGTCTGGATACCTCTTGGCACTAAATGTGAACACTTGGCGGCACAAGATCCAATTCCGACCGTTTATACATTTTTTTTTTAATCATTTAGTCATTTTTTTTAGTCATTTTTTTTCATTTTCAGTTCTGGTAATTTTAAGTCATACAACACATTTCCCGCATTTACCTGTTCCTTTTATAGACCCTTCGGTAGCAATAGTCAACCTCAACATTCTTTTCCTTCTCTTTAAATGCATACGGTTGCTTGGATGTCTAGTACTCTTTTCTGTTCGTTGCACGTGGTCTTAAGTCAATCGCAAATGTGGTTTACTTCTATATTCTTTCTCTCTCTTTCTCTTTGGCTCGGTTCGTTCAAGTTTTCTTTACCGTGTTGGTACATAATGGCATGCAACGCTTCACAAAAAATGTATCGTTTCTTCATCTATTGATGAAATGGATTATTTATTTAATCACATTATCTCACGTTACTGTTCTGCGATTAACGTTCAGCAATATTCGAAATGAAACGTCTTCTGCGTTATTTTAAAAAATGTTATCTTTGCACTTCCCGTTGTTGGCATCATTCATTCTATGATTCGTTTAATTGCTTTTTATTTTCTTCGAAGAATATGCTAGGTACGCCTTTGCAAATTGAATTGCTCGTTCTGCGGCAAAAGCGCATAGATTTGTTAGATCACATTTTTTGTTTCTATTTCCTAGTCCTTCGAGTTTTTAAAAAAATTATTTCCTTTTTTGCTTCACTTTTACTTATAACTTGTCATTAAAGTGGACGTCCTCGGAACTAGCTTTGTTTTGTGCATTACGTCCATAAGTATTCGACACGATAATGATAATAATAACATTAAGAATAATAATAATAATAATAATAATAATAATAATAACCATAAATGTATTCATAATAATATTTTAAAAGTATCAATAAAACCTTTGGTCGTACATCATGTAAGTACAATATCGATCAAATATCAAATAGGATACTCCAGGACCAATAGTACAAAGACTATTGACATAACTAAAGAAAAACAAAAAAAATAACAAGCATCCATATTTAAGAAAACCGAATAGACGGAAAGTGAATATTCTACCAATTGGTGGATCTATTAGTTAAATATAGAAGCAATTGTTTTAACTGATATTACATTAAGATCACAATTTTTTATCGTGTTAAATTCTCCAGGTTTTTTTTCGAAATCGAAGACACTATTATAAAGATCTCGATTTAAATTCCAAAAAATTGTATCCTTTCGCAGATTTCGGCTGGGATTTTTATGCTTTACTGGAAAATACGTTCCCTCGACTCTGCACGAGAATCCTTCATAACGGTAATCTCGTTATACGTCCTTTCTAAGATTTTTTAAGAAATTTCATTAAATTATCAAGAATCTTCCCTATGAGATTCCATGGACTTTTAACCCTGTCTTACAATGTCTATGCTCTTTCGGGTTCTGGAAATTTCGAAATATCATGAATTCATACTTAAAGATTCGCATTTCTCGAGACATCCAGCATCCCGATAAAAGTCTAGATTTACGAAATTGAATTCCCTAGTATCTCTAGAGTCTTTAAATTGTTCAATATCCCACGAGCTAGGAGAATCCCTAAAAATGTTTGTGCTCGTTGTCCGTTGCTGAAATTCTCGAGAATATCTGAACTTATGAGAATTCGCTAAAAGCGTGAGCACGTAACTGTACCGCGCATCGGTATCGTCTCTAGTCGTGTTCTTCTCGATATTTATCGAATTTCTCGAAATCCTCAATCTGTCGTCTCCGATTGCACTTGTCACCTCACCGGCGTCTTCCGTGTCCTGAGAACTTTCCTGACTCCCATCTTCTGATTTTCTATCCGTTTTCCTGGGCTCCCCATACATTTCTAGGGATAAGAGGATCAGGATAATCAGGCACGCACCTAGGCACTGTCGACCATCGTAGACAGCACATCCACCACCACTTGTTTGATTCTCGGTGGTTGGTCGCTGAACTTCCGGATGGGAAACACGATCGACCTGTTGACTTCCGGTCCAGGGATCGCCTTCAGTGTCAACGACATTCTGACGTGCGTCCACAGCTGCATTGTCCTGCACTTCGTCCCGGATTATTCCCACTTTGCCTTTATCCAAATCATCGCCAATTTCCAAGGACGTGTCGGTACCGTATAGGACCATTTTCCACTCCTTCAACGTATCTGTAAATACAGAATTAACGATTAGTTCATCCGTCTGACTAATTGGACACAAACAATTTTAAGGGCACCGAAACAACTATTGTGGATTGTATGAAGTCGAAGATCAATAGAATTACGTGAATTGAAAACAATTAAGAAGTACTCTTGTAGACAGAGGAGAATGGGAGATAGAAATTTTGAATATCCCTGAATATTAGTTCAACTATTGACGACCATTCTCGACCGTACCACGTATAGAGGATTGTGAGGTTAAGTGCTACTACTTAATTAAGCATGCTTATGTCTCGAATAGTCTATTAAAACGTAACGATTCGCACGTAAACGATGTGAATGTATAACAGAGTCACGAGTACTTCGGAAACTTGAAGTAGCGACGCGCCGAAGACGTTTAGTTTCTCGAGTAATATTATCATTTGCATTCGGTTAATAAAATTAGGCCAATGTTATGCTAACAACAGTGATTGAAAAATTATTTAAACACACAGTGAATTCAATCGTGAAGTAAAGTATGGGGTGCTGGGGATCCTTTTTCTTGAATTAAACAAACAAAATTCTAAAAAAATAATCTTACAAGTAAGGACGCACATGCTAAACAAATTGTACATTGTGCAGATTAGAAAAAAAAAAAACATTTTCACAATTTTAGATGCCTAGTTACATACAGTAACGTCCAATTGAAGTGCAACACTTGAATTTTTATACATTTCTGTGAAAGTATGACAGATTTCGAAAAACCAAAGACACATTTTTTAGGAAATTTCCTTTCCGTTCGAATGGCAAAGGTTTTATCCCGATCGGATACAAAATGGCCGAATGGCAGTGGTTGGAGTGAAAAAGTGCATTTTGGGACTTTTTGAAAAGTTCAAGAACTAGTAGTTCCGGAAGGAAATTCATATTTCTAATTAGGGCACGAGAGAGAGTATCCTTCGGCATTAAAAAAACATCCCATGCAATTGCTTGGCGCGCGTGGTAGGGTAGTAGTTCCTCGAGCGCCTCGAGCGGAACTCGCAAAATTTAGGCGTTAGTTCAAACGGATAATTTAACCCCACAGCAAACTCATTTTTGGATGTTTAAAAGCGCGTTTTAATCTTTGAAATCTCAGCTACGATGTGGATAAATATGAAACTTCTATTTCATCGAATTCCTAATGAAAAATGGCGGGGAAGCTTCGGGTGCGCTTGCGAAATCTCGAGATCTCCGTCATGAAGTCATCTCCGAGAACAATAATTTTGTGAGAATCTGCAGTATCATTAAAGATGATATCACACAGAAACTGGACCAGATTGGCCGGCGCGTTTGGAAGTTATAGCTATTTAAGTGTTTTCACTTCAAGGGGGTGTAACTCCCCCTAGAGTGATCCTATAGGGGCTCAATGGGGGTGTTTTTTTAATGCCGAAGGATGCTCTCTATCGTGCCATAATTAGAAATATGAATTAAACTACTAGTTACTTACTAGTTCTCGAACTTTTCAAAAAGTCCCAAAATGCACTTTTCACTCCAACCCCTGCCATTCGGCCATTTTGTATCCGATCGGGATAAAACCTTTGCCATTCGAACGGAAAGGAAATTTCCTAAAAAATATGTCTTTGGTTTTTCGAAATCTGTGATACTTTGACAGAAATGTAGAAAAATTCAAGTGTTGCACTTCAATTGGACGTTACTGTATACACCTATAAACCATCTATTACATTGAACACAAAGAATAACACTACATGCTTTTTCTATTATACGTACATACACGCATACATATTCGCTATGAAATAGCTTAAATAAAAAGTGATGTTAGGTTAGGTTAAAAATTAAGAGTTAACGTGTCCTACAGTATGGAACGAGAACGACGCAGAGTTAACAGGAACGATGTGCATAACGTGTATGTCTCACGTTGTGAGAATGAGAGGATAGGAAAGTGTAGCTGAGGGATGAGTTGGGCATCGTGCAGACGCCGGCGCCGGCGTCGAGGAAATTAATAAAGCGTCACGACGCCGGCGGGAGAAGTCCGTCTGGCGCTGGAAGCTTAAAAGCATACTAGGGAATTTCCCTAGATTTTTCCCTGCCCTCTCATCGGCATATCTCATACTTCTCATCTCTTGCCATTTATCTATCTCACCCCAAGTCGCTTTGGGCGTCGAACACCCTTTGTATGCTATTCTACTTTCTTACGTCAACCATGAATTTTGAGTAACCGTTCCTGATAATAACGCAAATATTAAAGTGCATTTTCGGAAAGCACGTAAGCTTAGAAAATATTTAACAGGCATCTTCGCGAATGATACTCGTGACACAGAGGAAAATTGCACGGATTGATACATATAAGACAAACAAATTTTTATCTTCGATTGCAAATTAAATCTGATCGTTTCTTCCTGTTCGTTTTATAAATGGAAAAGTCTCGTTGCTCTTGTGGAAATGTGGTTGACAGTTTCTAATATGGGATTTGGAAAGTTGACCACGAGGTAGAGGTACCAGCATCTTTCGATCACAATAAGCACAGGAGAAATCTGAGTGTAAGAAGTCGTTCTACTTAAAGATCAGTTGCAGAGTTCTTAAATACATTTCGGGCCTTAAAAACAAAATACAAATTAACAATGAAAGAGTATAGAAGTGAGGAGTGGAAACGTAAAAAACATAGCAGTGCATATTTAAGATGCTACTCAGTCACGACTGGATCGATAACCCGCACTGATTCGATATAATTTTCTTGTAATTTGCTACATGGTATACGTCGAGCCATTTTAAAAAAAGAAAGTATAGAATTTCAGAGAGACGAAATTTTGAGAAATATATTATTGAAACGGAACGAATGTCTTTTTGTTACGTTACGAGAAAAATTCTTGTTTGAAAATGTGGGTCAGTATACTCAAAATAATATTTTTTTCTTTTCTATAACCTTCTATGATTCTCCTTCATAATCAGTACGGGATTCCGATCATACATTATTGTACCCTTATCGAGATGATGACTCTTGGTGCCGAATTGTTCGTCCTGAAGAAGATCAGGACCTTTGGCTCTCGTTGAGTACTGCTGACCGGCGCCTCTGACGCCAGCTCCGTAAACAGGATACAAAGGATAAAGCTGTTGTATCTTATCGTAATGTTGAAAAATCGCAGGAACATTGTCGGTGGCAGTTTTGACCGGTTCCATGAGTATGATGCCCCGTTGTTGGGAGGAAACGGTAGGGTTTGGCTTGATGGTGGTTCTCGAGCTGCTCGGGAGTGGTCCCAAGGTGGTTCGAATTTTGGGCCTCGACGTAACGTACCTAACGTCACCCGCATTGGGCCCTCTGGCAGCTGTAAGTCCCCTCAGAGTTTGGATTGTCGGCTTCGGCGTTGCGCGGTTTGCCGATTTATTCTTATGTGGGCCCCTGGATTTATTCTTACGTTGACTTTGGGCCGTACCAAAATTTTGCCTGCTCTTCGTCGGTCCCAAAGCGTTTTGGCTTCGCGTGTACGTCGTTTCGCGTGGCTTTAGGAACGGCCGGCGTGGCACGTTTATCACTGCCGGATTGTAGAGAGCGTATTCCGTACGATCAGGCAACGTCGAGGTACCATGGAAGATTAGAGCCCATTCGTGAAGAGTTGCGCGACCTGGGCCAGCCATTCGCCAACAAAAATACTGATATGGATATCTAGTACCTTTCTTATCTTATTGGTCAAATACTTTAGGTTTTTCGATTCGATTCGGACTATTTCATTTTATTTACGCTTTTTATTTCTTGTTATCGCACAAAATATTTGCTTTGTACCATATATATATTTTTTTCATTCTTTCTCGAAGATCTTTCTAATAATTTTCTATTGGCATTTTTTAGTCTCACTAACTATATTATGAACTTTTTGGTTTGCCAGTTCCTTAAAAAGCTCAAGTTTTGAGTTAATGGTAATATAAGCTTTGCTTTCAAAAGCTTGCTCTACTTCGAAGCTTCCTGTACACTGATATTAGCCTGAGCGAAAGTTTGTCTCTTTACAATATCAATTTAAAAGCTTTATACAGTTTCTTAGAGACGAAAGTCTGACCACCGGTTATTGTTAGTTACAGATCAACGTCGATTTCACAACATCGGTACAAATTAGCAAAGCTTAACTTTTATGAAGATTTCTTCATTGCATAATGCATAGATAAATTATCTCATTGTCTTTCGACAATTTGATATAATTATTGGCAAATCGACTTTGCATCGTTAATAAATATTTTGTAATGATCAAGCCGATTACCATGTCATAGTAATTCATTAATTTGGTTATGCCAGAATAAAAACGTATAACTTCCAGTTATGGAGGCATATTAATAATTTTTATTTCCACTCACCTAGATAGCGACCTTCGTTATGAATTTCTAACTTCCACGTTCCATGAGGCCGTTCACCCCAAGTATGAACGGACATGAACGGCCATTGCATGAAGCCAGCTTTCGATATGTCATGCGGCCTCTTTGCCAGTAAGGTGCTTTTGGTGCCTTGTGGCGAGGTCAACTGAATTTGGAGGTCACCGCGTCTGAAGGCCATTAAGGATACTTTAGCCTGAAAACGAAATGTCATCCATCAGTGAAGTGCAAGGGAAATTCAACTTTCATCATTATATTTCATTACAAACATTATGGTCATATGTAAAATGGTATATACAGTGCCGTCTTGTAGCAAAGCAAATAATAAAGATAATCGAGGAGTAATTAATCTGTGTAATTAAAAATTGTATCAATATTAGAAATTTTCAGTGTATAGTTATTATTAGCAAGACTCAAAGTATCAGCAGTCACTTTCGCGACGTTAAAAATTATTGTGATCGCTTGATCAGATACTGATACTGTATGTGGTTACTAATTAAAGAACGAGGACTGTAATAATTAAGATAAATTAGGAGTGGTTTAATTATCACCAAAGTTCATCAAAACCATGGCGAATAGGCTGTTAAGGTAAATGTTTGCACGGTGTCCCCTGAACCAGTCAAGGCAACGTAATCCGAATGAATATTCGTGACACAATTGCTAGTAGCCCTAACCTAACTTAAACTTTATTTTACTGTCTGGTAATTTTCAGTTTATTACGTTCCATGGTTATTTACCCTGGACACTTGGATCCTAACGAGTCGGATCCTAAATTACAACCATGTAACTAGGTCAAAGTGAAAATTTACTGGGTAGCCAAAGTCTTCAGGTTTTATTTCTACTCTAACATTGAGATTCCTTTCCTTAATAAGAAATGATAATTCAATTGAGAATTGGAGATACAATGACGCTCTTATGGATATTGTATAGAAATCATGCAAAATGTAGGTTTGAATTTGTGCATAGGGCAACGTATCTACACACTTCATTTTTATGTTGCGCATTGTCCCACGCGCTCTTTACTTCTGTAACACGCTATTTATGTTGTATCATTTGACGACTCTATCACAGAACGAAATTTGACCTTCAATCTATTGGTGCATTGCTAGTCTGCGATGGCAAACAGGCGTACTGTTAGGTTCAATGGGAAATAAAAAAAAAGTAATTAATGACTTCCAGACTGCGGTAGGAGAATGTGTGCACTGGATACAGTAGAGTGTCGCAACGTTAACCAATGGTCCACTATCAAGGGGAATGAATTTACCTTTTTAATTTTTCAGCTATAAAGGACCCTCAGTGCATATGCACTTTTTCCAATGTATACCTTATATTCTGTGCCTCTATATGCAACGCTCAACGCCCTTTTGGTTGGAGCACGTGACAGCGAGAGGGTTAATATAATTTTGATAATTTGAAGCTTTATTAAAACAAACTAACTGAGTCCCTTTCCTGTCGCTGTATACTTACTTGAACGTGTTCTAGAAAATTTACGCCACTGCATTCCTTCACGTGTAATTCCAGTACCAGTTGACTTTTCGGTGGAATTTGTCTGAAAGCCAAAACAACACAAGGGCAACGAGTGAAATTGATATAAAGGAATAAAAATAACTACGAATAGATATACGGTATAAATGTGACCAATGTAATGCGAGCATTTTGCTGTTTTATGGAAAGAATGTATGTGCAGTTGGAAAATGAAGTGAATAAAAATGACGAAAATCACAAAGAGGAAGAAAAATAAGGTGTGGTGGAACTCTTTTCATAGCTCGTGGAATAAAATCCCAGAGGTGAAATCGCTACGCGGATGGTTTTTAATGGCGGAAAAGAAAAAGATATAAGGAAAGTTTGTCTTTTCAACCTAAAGGAAAAAATCGAAGCAACGTTGGCGGATGCAGATAAAATGGACACCGGTTATATAAACGCATAAAACTCTCCTAAATCGTGAGGTGGGTGCCTGTCTTCGTTCTCGAAAGGAATTACTACACGGCCTGAAAGAATCTTCGTTTCCGTTTTGCAAGGAGGCCACAGCACGATTTTGCCTGCGGAACCTCATAGAGTAAATCTTTTATGGCACCGGTACAACAATGTACGTACGAATGCGTGCACTTTTAAGGCGATAAGGGTGAGACATTTTTACCTTTTTTTTTTTTTTTTCTATTCCCTATATATTAAGCTTGTAGGTTTCTGAGAGACAAAGAAATGAGTATTTAAGGAAGATAAAAAATAATAAAATTCAATCCATCGCTCACCTATCCGTATGTGGCGCTGATACTTCGCACTTGTGCTGCTCTGGAACTGTTCGCCATCTCCTCGCTAGACGTACCATGGCACTGGCATCCATGAGACCATAACCAAAACTGTGGCTCACTGGAAAAATAAATGAAAAAAAGATTTATGGCCACGTGTCCAGTTTCATTTATATTCATACGATAGGAGCTCGTGCTCGTATAAACAATGAATACCAACGAGAGCTATTTTGAAATTGCAGTAACGTTGATTTCTATGAAATTTAATATCTCGTGTATATAAAAAGTAATAAAATTTTAGTAAAAAGTTATTCAGCGTGTTTGAAATTTGGAATGCAGATACAAAAGTACTTATGCACGTGTATCCCCTTATTGCGACGGCGATCGGACGTTTCATAATGTTGTACCAAAGTATGCATGGTGCAACGAAGTATCGAGTACATACAAAAGATACTAGCTTCGCGGGATAAAGGTTGAAAACTTATCGACAAGATTATTATGTGCTGTCTTTTCTATTTCATATTGCCTCGAATATAGATAACGTCAATTTTGAAGATTCTTTTATGTCAAGACTGATGTACGTAGAAATCGGACAGCCTAAAATACTCGCTAAGAATAAAGTGTAGCAAAAATTCAGAACCCAGCAAAAAAAGGTTAGGGTAGACAAAAGGAAGATACGAGAGGGGTAAAGAAGAATAAAAAGCCTCAGGAAATCACATGGAGCCAGACAGAGAAGCTTCGTGGTCCAGACAGAAGGGATTACCAGGGAAAATAATGACACGTGCCATTCGTCGGGGTCAGAATCGGCCCTGGCGTTAGTGTTGACGTTGACGTTGGAGCTCTCTCTGTACGTTGAATATGTTTTGTGATCTTTTTTCTTTTCGTACCTTCTTCGTGGGCTCAGGAGGTAAAGAGAATGAGAGATTACGAGGGCAACCCACAATCTGTTTCTTAAAACAGGTGACAAGTGGGAAGAACGAAGAGAAATGTGAGTAGGAAAAAACAAAGAAAAGGAAACATCTCGTTTTCTCTCTGTTAACTGCCATTATCGTTATTCTCTTCAAATTAGGAGCCTTAAGGACTGGTCATTCGTGCACCACTCATGTCCTACTATTAAAGTAATGGTGAACAATTTCGATTTGTACTGTCGCTACTTTTCGTGGATTAATGCCGAACAGTCAAAAAAAGTATTACTTATATCAAGCATTAAGAGGATGCTACGAGATCCAAGTAAACCGAAGATTTATAATATTTCACGTGAGAAATCTACAAAGTATTAAACAATAAAAAGGGACCGACCGTTTCTACCAACTCCGTTCACGACCCAATCGGTCGCTTTGAGGTTGGCTGGTCTTGCAGTGCGCACCACGATGTGTTGCATATCTCGCCAAGTGAGGTCGCGATTTGCCTCCAACGCAAGTGCACAAATTCCAGCGGCTAATGGCGCTGAAGCGGAGGTCCCCGTGTGGCTGCTGGTGCACCGTTGGTGCAGATCAGTAGTGACTACTTGCTTTTCGCCGGTCGAGCCTGAACTGTAAGTCGTGGCTAAGGTCGAGGAACAGGCTTCGCTGTACCAGGGTACCAGACCGTTTTCCGTTGCACTACTGATGGACAAGGTCCATATGCTGTTCGTGTATCCGTCGCAGTTGCAATTATCGTGATCCCGGCCGCCATTGCCGGAAGCCCATACAAAAATTGAGCCTTTCCCTTTGCGTCCCTGTTGATTTGGTGAAACAAATTTTCTTTGAATAAGCACAGTTCTATAATTGGGTTGTAAGTTATTTTTTTTATAATTAAATCAAAGGTAATCCGGGATATCGAATCTTTATTTCCAATTATAAATATGTAAACAGGTGAATAAGATTTGGAGATCAGAGTTAATCGAACGTAATCTTATGACGCATTAAAGCTTGGGTTCGAAACTGTAATAGGGATTTTGATACTTTTCCATGCAGAGTGAATGAGACCATTTTTATTCTGGTAATCGCAAGATAATTTGGCAAGTCTTTAGGGTTTGGGAAAAGGAGATATTGGCATCTGGAAATGGTACAGTTTGCCATTTACTTATATATTCCATCTTGAAAATCGACCTTACCGTCACACTATGTCACTGTATAAATTTAAATAGGCTACCGTACTAGTGTGTACACAAGGATACATCGTATAGTATACGTATGCTGTATATGAATATATAAGTGGATTAATTATCATCTTCAGTTTTCCTTTTGAATAAATTTTAAGATACTTGACCAAGTGACCGCACACTGTCATATAAATTCAGGGATTCGTTGCTCAGATTTTGTTTTTTACGTGCCGGAAGCTAAAGCCTCAATTTGCTTGATGTGCACATCAAGAATTATCCCCATGGGGATATGGAAAGCAGATATATAAAATTTAATGAAATTTTCACGATACGAAAACCTTTGAATGAATCAAGAGTACACCTTTTAATTGGCATTTCATTTTTCATTTTGAAAATCCTTGTCTCCTTTTCACAGTCGAAATCGGATATAACGTCTAATTCATAAACGACATTTTCTCATCCTGGCAAATGCAGTATCCGCATGAAATTACAAAGCGTGCTGAGTTATTAATGGTGTTCTACAGAATTTCGCGCTCAGAGCATGGCGGTTGCCATGACAGTTCCGACGCGTCGACCTTCTGTTTTAATTAATGAGGGTTCTCAAAAAGATAAGATCTGAGAGCTCAGCTACTTAAAAGTAAATTTACTTCAACTCATTAGCCTCCAAACTACTTGCACTGCCAAATTTTGATAGATGAAAATGATCCCAAGCATTACTAGGACGTTTAGTTCCGAGTTAAAAATTAATTATTAAAAATTCGAGATAACCGAGAAAAAAGGATGACCAAAAGTTTCGAATTATTATCTGAATTGTATGGAAATCCACGAATATTTAGATTAAAGTTGAAAAATCTTATTAATACATTTTAGGAGTTTATAAAGAAATGAAAAGGACTTTACGGATGCTTCGAAAGAGAAGATTAGTTGGTAATGCAGTATAAACAGGAACGAAAGTAATAAAAGTAATTAAGACATCAGAGAAACACAGGAAAACTGACAGCCAATGGATTTCCGTGAAATATGCAGATTAAACTTTATGACGTCAAATTAACATTGGTATTTCGCACAAGCGAAGTAGGAATAAGTAAAAGCTTGCGAAGTATCTACTACCCACCGTCGAGTTTATCAAGAAAATGCTTGGCAAAGCTTAAAGCTCCAATTACAAAGTTTCTTGTAGAAATTCTGTGTACACCATTAATTTTGACTGGCGAGAGTCCCCATTTCCGTATCCACCGAGTAGCATGAAAATTTATGTTCGCAGAAAAAAAATTTTCAGACGTAACGTAGCTACTTAAGATAAAAAAAGGTCTTTTATAAGCTCATTAAACGAAAGCACGAATAAAGAAAACTAATAATCACGTCAAATTTCACTGAAGGAAACTCATCCTCAAGTTGCAACGTGGAACGTCGGTGCATCGAGGCCAATTGAAAAACGGCAACGTCTACCCCGATTCACTTTTTCACAAAAGATGTCGATGTATTCAATTTAGTAAAAGCTTTAATTCTTTCGTTCGAGTTACTTCGTGTCGGCTGGTGTCTTTGTTTCCCGAAAGCGGAAACTTCTCCGTGTCTCCGGATACGGTTTCCGCAGGAATAGAATTCACGGAGTCTATAGAGACCTCCTTTGAAACATCTTATCATCCTCGAATAGAGTACAATCGCCAAGAAGTGGTTCCCTGAGGAAATCACATTTTCGAAACGTCCCTTAACGACATAAGGGTATCATTAAAATACTGTAACAAAATTCCTTATTGGTCCTGTCTCAAATTAGACGTCTTTACTAGCCTTAGTGATTCCCTCGACGAAGGCTCTGGTCGCCAGTTCACCTGGTCCGTCGACAGTTTTCCCATCGTCGTCGGGACCCCAGGATGCGCTATATATATCTATATGCTGTGGATTAAGGCTAAGGGATCTGGCTTCGACTGCATCAGTGACGTCACCGTCGAGCATCCGGACGCCTTGAAAAAGCACAAAGACGATTTATCCTAAAGCTAATCCGGAATCAGTCCGAAATACAGAAAAGCAAAATGTAAAGGCTCGTGTAATTCCACCTGCTATTATACGCTAGCTATTGCTTTTCTTATCGGTTCAATAAGTATTCTCCACGTACCTCCGACTCCTGCACCGAATGCAACTCCTACCGCGCAATTACTGTTATTCGCAGTTGCAGCTACTTCACCAGCGCATCTGGTACCGTGTCGATTACTATCGGCCTCATCGTACCGTGGCATAGGATCCTCGTCGTGACTGTTGACGTCGTAGCTTGCTTGGGGATCCTGAGAAGTTGTGTAGGACAATTGTACAGTTATAATTAAAATTTAGATTATCATTGTTATTTCGATATTTTTTTAAAATTATTTTTAGGATCTTCACATATCGACTTTTGGACATTTTATCGCACGTGGAGTCTTCTGTGCACGAGATACATGAGAATTGTAGGTTATGCATATTTCACGTAGACTTACGTAATTTCTAGTGAGATCCGGATGATCTTTTTCTAAACCGTCATCCAGTATTGTTACTACTACTCCACTTCCGGTGATACCTTCAGTCCAAGCACCCTGTACATTCATGTCTAGGCCGTTTCCACGATTCTATAAAAATACAAAAAAATTCAATTTCTTTAAACGGGCAACACAATCCGCTGCTCCGCTAACTCGAATTGCATATTAACCTCGCGGTGGTTGTGCTGTGTTTACCCAGACGTGCCTAAGTATTTCGTGTCAAACGGTGTCAAACAAATTTGTAGGGTTCACCTGTTTCACTGTGTTTCCATATATGCACTGTTAAATAGTTAATTACTGGAATCCAACGTTACGCTATGTTTCATTAGGTGCGTTCGTTTATCAAGTAAAATAAGACTGTGTCCTATAATTGGTCTAACAGTTTCGCTTTTAGTCCTACATGAAGTCATTATAAACGATTAGTAATTCGCTAACACAATAGTTACTATGGCTGAACAGACATCTTCAATCTGACTCAATGGCTGAATTGATAGCAGAATCGAACGAGGATTGAAATGAGTGATAGGTATGTTTCTATTAAACAATAGATATATTTTTGATACTTATTGTGCCCTTGATTTAAATTTCATGGAATAATTCAACATATTTTCCCGAAGCGATGTCTTTAGCGAGAAGCTGAACAAATTGTGCGAGTTAATCAATTGGCCTGATTATGAAAATAAGTGGGCTAAAATAAAGCGACTGAAAAAGTCAAGTGTGGAACTGTGAGTTGACGGTAGAGACAGCATTCGAAATGATGGACAAAATAGACGAATGAGCGATGCGAGCTCATTTTGATGTTTGGTATTGACTCAATGACTGTTGAAACTGAGAGTTTAAATATTTCGTGACTTAACTCGACTACAGTTGGAAATGGATTTATTCGTTCCGATAATTCAAGCTCGAAATATGATAGTGTCGATTGGTCGTATCTGACAATTCTATATAATTCTCAAAGAGAAGTGACGCTCGTCTAGTAGTATTTTCGAATGATTTCTCGAGTACAGAATTCTCGGTATCAAGTAAACGCATTCCGGAGTGTTTGAGTTGTACACGATTGTCCCAGGAGGAGCTGGTTACTATGTACTGACCAAATACCACATCTGAGGCCATCGTTCATCGTTGAGGATGATTCGTGGGCCAGAGTGTCCTCGTTTGATAATCAAGTCCCTTTTAGTTCGGGACTTGGCCCTTTGCTGCTCGGCACGCCGAACTCTTGAATCTCCTACGAGCCTCTGGTGGATTTCGTGGTGCGGTTCTGTTGATCTTTTTACGATTGAACGGTGTTCCATGTGGTACCAGTCATCGACTATCTGAAAATAAAATAAATCGAACCCATGAAAATGTGTGATGCAGCTGCATTTGTATGGAAGGTAACAAGTCTTTACGTATAGCAATGCATTTATCGAATATCAGCACTTTGGTGATCCGAGCTTTTGAGCCATAACCCCGTTACGTGCGGCCGGCGCTTTCGAGTCTTTCGGCCACGGCAATACGAGCGGCCGGCAGGGTGTTAATTTTTATAATTCGAAATAGTACTACGACTGTGAATTCACGCAGACGGGTACTAATGACGATAGGATCAAAAAAGTTGGCAGTGTTGCTGAATTAATGTGCATGTGCAATATGCGTTTTACCACGTAAATATACAACTATCTGCATTTTTTGAAAGCCCATAAAGAATTTATGGTAGGTCGCAATAATGCTGCTGCACGAAGCGGTGTGAACGTGGTTTTACGATACTGTTGAATTTATTGCATTTGTACAGTCTGTGTGTACAGTTTCGGTTCGATATATTTCGAAGGGGACTTTAATATTAATACAGTCTTATAAGCTTTCCTATATGTTATTTTTTTCTGGAATTACGTTTTGAAATTTGTTCCTTCGCCGAGATTTCCGATTCCTTCATCTTCATTGCGTAATTTTTTGTGCGAATAAACTGACAGCTGTCATTCACGGAATAACAAGCATCGCCTGAGAGCATCGATAAACAGATGTGACTTGAGTATTTTCGGGCTTTATTGGTGGATTTTATTTTGCAATGCATTCTCTCCAATTTCCAAAATTCTTTTACCGGACACTTGTATATTTTCAGTCTGACAGGATATTGCGCTTTTCGCCAATTCCCCGGTGGTACAAATTTTATAATCTTTCTTCGAGTTTCTTCCACCGGAAATTTCCTTCTTCTTGGAATTGGATCGGGCGGCCCGGCCTTTTTTGGTTCGTACACTCGAGCCTCCCACATTTTATTTATACAAGGACATTTACTTAGTCTGTACTTTAGCGCAGCCGTGTTTGGATGGCAATCGCTCAGGTCACTGATATCTGTTTTATTATCAGAATTTCGAATCCCACATATCCCAGGACACGTCATCCAACACGCTTCTTGACATATTTCCTCGAGATCCTTTTTCGGTGAAATATAAAGACCGGACTGACATTTATCTGTAAATTGAATAACACAGGGTGGTTTCGTGCAGCATTTTTTCAAAATACTCAATGGCGCTCTCATGCAACATAGTAACGGTGGCTTTTTTAATAATCGTGGAGATTTGCATTCGTCCATTTTTAAAGGGTACGATTTATCGCTTGGAAATTCGCAACAGTGTTTTTGGCAACGGTTATGCAATTTTGAGCACAACTTTTTTTGGAAATCCTCCGCCTTCCTGGGACACACGGGATACTGCGACGGATACGTTATTATTTCGGATCTTCCACAAAGACTTAATCCTGGAGGATCAGGATCCGGTAAGTGTGGGTCTTCTATAACACGGTCTGGAGGAAAGGGTTGTGGCGGGGATGAAAGTTCGAATATATACGACTCTCCAAAATTTGAGTTTACTGTTTCGCTGCAAGATGGACTCGAAGTGCAGGAATGGTTCCACATTGGATAAGCCGTGACAGTTTCAGGCTTTTTCACCACGGAATCTTTTTTCGGCAGGTAAAGATCAAATTTGTCTATTGTATCTTTTTCATTTGCATTTTTCATATTTTTTCTGCTTCCGTATGATCCAAATAATCGCAGCTCGATCTTTGTCGGATCTTGCCACGAGAATCGTCCTGGGATTCTTTTCAATATTTTACTGTGATCGTAAAACCAGGAATTTCGAAATTGGACATTCTTTGATATATCTTTTTGAACTGCCACTCCCTCGGAATACCTCGCGGACATCAAGCGTCTTCTTCTTTTTCGCCATATCGACCATAAATTAATATATTTGCGTGCCTGAAAGTGTGCATATTATTTTTTGGTTATAAAATCCTAATTGTTCTATTTTAGAAATAAACGTTCGATATTGCAACTGTAAGAGGTTACCTTACGAATTAAGTTTGTGTACATTTTCCAAGATTTTTTCTATGCGTTCAACATTTTCGAATTTCAACAAATTACTTAATCGAAAATCATTACTTTTGAGAAATAAAGATAAAGAGATCGATGGTAAGAAATAAATTTTTTTTCAAATTGGTTCTAAAGGGTATGAAATTAGCTAGAAAATCTTATTGATTTCAAAATTTATAGCCAAAGAATCTTTCTTTTGTTTATTCGATATCGAGCACCATCGCGAGATCGTCATTTAATGCATCGAATCAACGAAAAGTGCAGTTATGAAAGTGCGTCGAATGTGTTTTATAGGACTAACCTTTGATTAGTTTTTTTATTACGCATGCGAAAACGAATTCTCGTGCTAACTGTTGCACATGGGATTTAATCGATATTAGCAAAATATTCAATTTTCACTTATAAAACGTAAATTTTCGATGTAACGATCAATACATAAATATATACATATACATATAAAAGTAATAGAAAAATTTGGCTACACCATGGAAATTCAATACGTTTACGTGAAAACACGTTCTCAATTTGGAAAACAATGCTTTTTCGATGAATTCGGACCAAGTGTCGATGAGAATATCGCAACGAATCCAGAAATTACGGCGGATTACATAACAAGAAATCCATGTCACGTCGGTGTTCAAAAATCAAAGCAATATGCATTGCACGAAGTTCGTAATACGTTTATCATACGAAATTTAAAGCGATATCATTATTACAGGCTAAGAAAGTGTATTTAGCATTGATATAATAATTAATTGAACACTTTTTCTCGATAGATTCAAACCAGCGACGCCGTTACGAAGGAAAGTGGGATGTTCCACACGGAGGGTGGTTGGCCCAAGGAATTGAATCCAAAAGACGAAGAAGCTACGATGCGATTTCGTCGGAGGGTCGAGAAGGACGATAATTGGGCACCAAAAATGAATACATTAATGGAAGTGAGGAACGATTAATGAAAGTTACATGGGATAAATCTGTATAATGCAATACATCCAATACTTTCCTTACAGCCCGTGGAGCACTGCGTATTGCAAAACAATGCGGTGAACATTTATGAAAATTTCTTCGACGACATGGTACCCACGGAATTAGTTCTACCGTTGGCCGCAAGGTGGCAAATATTACGAAGACAGAGAGAACCCCGAAGGAACACGTTAGTTAATTTAACCAGTTAATCGAATTGATTGCATCAGAACTGTAAACGTCTACGCGGATCCGCAACTGAATGTCAGGCCAGTAACGCATCTGTCATGGTCGCCCGATCATGGAAAACGCTTGGCCGTGTCCTACTGTCTAATGGAATTTCAAAAGAGCACCAATGACTTAAGCTCATATTCCTACATATGGGACATAGGCAAGTTATTGACAGACACGTCGGACAAAAAATTATTATAAAAATTAAATAATTTCGTGCAATAAAATAATAAAAGTAGCTACCTAAAATATGCTCTCTTTTTCCCCCCCAGAAAATCCTAATAAGGCTTTCATGGCCCTAAAAGCATTTTGTCCTTCGGTAGTTATAGAATTCAATCCTAGGGACCCTTCGATGCTAATAAGTGGCCTGATGTCGGGCCAAGTGTGCAACTGGGACATAAGAACCGGAAATGTGCCAGTTCAAGTATCAGAGTTGCAGTACAGCCACAGGTGACTGTCAGAGTCAATTATTTGTATTTGCTTACTTTCGCTATCAGTCTAATTATTTATATTCCATTCCTTGATTCAGGGATCCAGCGAATCTTGCACTCTGGATAAATTCAAAAACGAATTCCGAGCTTTTCTCAGCATCGACCTGCGGTACCATGAAATGGTGGGACATCCGTAAATTGCGTGAGCCAACGGAGACTTTGGTGCTTGACCTTGATAATCCATTGAGATCGGACGAAGTTCGAGCGATCGGAGTATCGGCTTTGCAATTTGAAGCCACTATGGGCACAAAGTTTATGGCTGGTATGGAGAACGGAACAGTGATAAGTGGAAGCCGAAAGGGGAAAAATCCGGCTGAGAAATTGGCATTACGTTTTCGCTGCCATTACGGACCGGTAGTAGCCATCGATCGGAATCCGTTCAGTACGAAGAATTTTTTGACGGTCGGCGACTGGACTGTCAAGATTTGGGCGGAAGACACGAAGGAAGGCTGCCTTATCAGTACCATGTATACATGTCTCAAAGTTTTTTTTTCTTTTTTTTTTTTTTCTGATAACGTAATGGTAACCGAATACCTATTGGAATCTTGTACTGATCAATATCGAATTTCTAATTAGACCGCGTACTACGATCCTGAATGGTGGCTGCTGGAGTACATCTCGCTATTCGGTCTTCTACGTAATCGATATGTCTGGCCAGTTGGAGGTGTACGATCTTCTAGTCGGTATGGAAGGTCCAGTAAGGACCCTCAGATTATGCGAGGATCGTCTTGGCGCTATAGCGCCGCACGAGGAAGGAAAATTGGTAGCTGTTGGAAGTTCGAGAGGCAACGTGTATCTCGTTGAGTCATCGGAGGCATTCACTGTTAATGGGAAGAATGACAAAGCTTTAATGACTTCGGTAGGGTTGAATCATTGCATTATTCCCCTCGATATTCCGCGATGTATTGATTGAGAATTTTTTTTTTTTTTTTTTTTTTTTTTTTTTTTTTTTTTTTTTTCCCCAGTATTTGGATAGATGCAGCAGATACGAGAAGGCGATTGACAATAGGCTCAAGGAAGTGAAACTTGCTCAAAGGATAATTTTCGAAGAGGTCCTTGAGCCTGTCTTGACGCGAGATAGAAGCAAGGTTAAGAATAAGGATAAGAAGGAAAAAGTAAAGAAGAAGGAAAAGGATAAAGACAAGGGCAAGGAAAAGGATAAAGATAAATTCGATATTGAACATAAGACTAGCTTAAGACAAAAGTCGAGGTCGAAGGAAAGGGCCAAAGAAAAATCGGAAGAGAAGGACAAAAAGAAGTCGAAGAGTAAAAGGGCAAAGGATGGCGTAACCTTTCCTGACGATCCCGAATTGGTTACAGTCGAACTACAATATTACGAGACAATTCAAAAGGTACGGCGAATTCAGACATGACGTTTGGTTCGTCAGAGGAGAATGGCACTAGTTTTCATTTACTTTCTATTAACGTCCGACAGGAGATTGAAAAATATGCAAACATCGAGGATACGGAACAGGAGGATCCTGCGAGCAAATTCGAGTCGCCTGGGAAACGTAAAAAACTCGAGGAATCCCGTGATAAGGATGCGCGTCAGAAATCTGATAAGGATGATCAAATGAAACAGATCGTAATTCTAAAGAAGTTTGCCGAGCCACAGCGGGAGTCGCAGGACCTGACTGATCGTCTGGACTTGGATATGGTCGACGACGTTAATGCTTCTGTCGTTCTTCAAGAGTCTAAGGAGAAAATCAAGAGTCCTGGCAAAGCGTCTCCTGGCGCGCGTAAACACTCGCGCCGCGCCAAGGGTTTTCGGCTGAAGGAGGAAAAACCCTGTGGAACCGAAATTTGCCAGCCGACCGTGTGTTGTCTCGCTAAAATTGGTGAGATCTTTTAGTAATTCATAATGCATTAGTCCACGTCGTACTATTTTTCCGAGTCGTTTCGCGCTCATCCTTTATGATATTTTACTCCATTCATTTAAACGATCCATCACGCGAGGTGTTCACTTTATAAATTTCATTCAGGTTTCGTACTTTCTACGAATTTCATTTGACATCTTTTACAGCGGGGAATGCCATATTATTACTTTTTTAAAAGTCCGTTGTCCTAGAGTTATCGCTCTTTTAACGGTCACGGCGTACATTAAGAAAATTTATAGAGTTCCTACGGCACGTAAGAACAGAGTCCAATTCTCACATCTACGTTCGAGAGTCTCGTTCATTTTTCTTCAAAGATTCTTACGTTCGATTTAAAATATATTTACGCTGCTTTTTTCTTAAGGTATTGACGATCATTTTTATATCTTTCTCGCAACATTTTTTTTTAACTTTTTTTTTATTCCCTACCGTAAAGCCTCATTGTGAGGATTCAGTTTCATCCAATTTCCTGCACCGTTATCATCAAATGCTGGTCGAGAGTAATTACTACGAGAGTCGTAATTACCATTCGATACCATGTGTAACTTTAAACGTGCTTCCAACTAGTCCCGTTCTGCTTATATCTGCGAACGTTTGCTCGAGCCTGAACCATATGGTTGGTGTTGCTATTAGCAAATTCACCAACTGCAGAATTAATTACATTCAATCGTTAACTGTACGTAATTTTCCAAAAATCAAAGCCCAGGTATTACATTTCGCCCGGAATAAAGTGTTCAATTTTATGTACCGAGATGTATTTTTAGATAAATCAACTACCAAGAAGGGTAAGGAGACTTGGACGGATTTGGATTCCCACGGTAGAAGGAACACACAAACGCTGCTCATAGCGTTACCGAAAGCTTTGAGAAAGTCTGTGGAAGATTCCGATACCAAAATGAAAACTCTGATGGGTGAGAAAAAGCAAATTTTGAGGAACAAGGATGCACCACCCAATATCCTACAAGCGGAAGTGCTGAGTGCAAGAGAAAAATTGCGAGCGGAAGTAGATCGCACGAAGGCTGTAAAGGGTGGCTTTTCTACGGTCAAACGAGAAAAGTCGCTAAAATCGGCAAGAGAGGAGGGAGCGGAAGTCGATCTAGTAGCGGAAGTGCACAAGGACGAAGAATCTCTACAGGTGCAGTCGCAAGTGTTCGTCGAACCGGAAGTCAGCCACTCTGAGGCGGAAAGTGAAAAACCGAGAAAAACGACAGCTATCCAGGATGAGTGCGAACTCGAAACAGCTAAGATTTCCATCGGTCAAATAGTTGGTAAGCCTGAGGGCTTCAGGTTACCAGTTGCTTATCGAAAAATCGATTTCCCGAAAGTCAACTCATCAAAGAGACAAGATGTTTATCCGAGAATTTCAGCGGCTGTTATCACGAAAATTTCGACTTCGCACGAGTACAACGAGACGGAGACGAAATAAGTATATTTTGCGATGACAAATATTTTTTTAGGTGTAACATTTTTTAAAATAAATTTTATACAAACCTTACGATGAGTTTCGAAACGTTCAAAAATCTACGAATATTTTGCCCTTATTTTCGAAGCTCCTACAACGTCTGCTCTTACGATCTCAATTGACACGTTCGCAGCGAATTTCCACAGTATTTGAAATTAAAAATTATCTTTAAACGAGGAAATATAATTTTACATTTGTTTCTTTTAATTAATAAAATAAAATTTTTTTATGCAGTATAGAGGCGCCATGGGAAGTTTTCTTTTTTCAATTGGCACTCTGAGGTTTCGTGGAAGCGTAGCATAAGGTGTTATAATGACTAGACGGAAGTCAGTAGTCAGTCAGAAATCTCTTGACGTTCTTGAGAGTCTGTCTTGCGTACACTGAGATGAATATGCAGCGTTCTGACTTCCCATCACTGAATACGCCAAGACTCGATTTTAGTGTCGTCGAGTGGGATCTCTATTTTTGAGAATAAAGAAAGTATAATTATATAAGTGAAATTGAATTAAAAAGTTAATAAAAGAATCATTCACACCGTGCGCAGTATACAAGCACCATATCAATATAGCAGTGGATAGTTTGCGTTGCGATTACAAGGGTGGAAAAAAAGTACAGATGCATTCGCTGCAAATGCTCGCTCAAAAGTATTATTAAAATAAAAAAAAAATTTCCCCAATATCACTATAGGTATCGGATGCTCGTGAAGTAATTGCTGAAAAGCGACATAAATTTTGTAATTTTAATGAAAATTTCGAAAAAAAAGCTAAGCAGAGTAAAATCGTGTTCGATAACCTCACGATTATTCGTCCCCTCCGAATTTCTTCACTTTTTTTTCTCATCGCCACAATAATACCCTACTTTCTTTTCCATCTAGCTCAGCGAAATCCTAGAGAAACCCCTGCGCCCTTAGAAGCGGTATGTCTTTCTGTAATTAGTTTTCGGTCACGTACACCTGCGACTTTCTTTTACCGCCCCGTTTCAGGAATATTTTCCACCCTCTATAAGCATATTTGCTTTTCTCTCGAGGGTGCTCTTAAAGTTTCCTCCCGATTGAACCTTCTAGTGACGTACTATCTCACAGCAGACTGAATCGAGGGACTTGCCTCTATTGGTTATCTTTTGAAGGCCTGTACGTGGCACGCGAAGAAAATATTATCTTAACTTTATGAACATACTCCAAGATCTTAATGATTATAAAATTACTATGTATATCCAAGCAATTCGAAAACTAGTAATGTTTCCAAAAAATTCGATTTTACTCGCTAATCCTAAATACTTACTACCGAGCTTATCTTGAGTACACTCGGAACGAGGCAGACGTAAAAATAGTATTTGACATATGGCAGTCATACGCACGATCAAGGACTGCATTACAGGCAATAAAATGCAGAGAAACAAACTTTAGTAGGGAATCGTCAAAATGGAACCTACCCACGTTTACGTAAAGGCACGTGCCGAATTTGGAAGACAATGTTTCTTTGACAGCTACGGTCCTGTCATCGACGAAGATATACAACCCGATCACCTCGCTTATCAAGATTACATAAGACGGAATCCATGCCACGTGGCCAGTCAAAAACCCAAGCAGTATGCAGTGCACGAGGTATTATTTTTATTCGGTGGGCACACATACCGATATAATTTTTTAAATTGACAAATAACCTAGTGCCATTCGATTCCAACGAAACGTGCCAATTTTCACATTTCACGTAATTCCCTATAATGAAGCTTCGGTTGAACCTCCGACATTTCCCGTGGAATTTTCCGCAACTTTTGACGCTATTAATTATTATTTGACATCGAATTCCATTGAGATCCTTCTTGCCAACGTAATATATCCTCTCACTGTGCTTCCCATTATTCGTATGATTTATGTGCTCGCTTTTCTCTAGCTCAAGGTACGCATAGAATAGTGCTTGCATTGTACGCGTTAATCGAATCCTTACTGGGTAGAAATGGATTATTATTGGTTTCGTGATCTTGGATAATTTTATTTTAGAAAATGTTTTTAAAATAATTTATTACACAAATATACTTCATCCAACGTACTCTGAAAGGATCTTCTGGACGCTTTTTAATATGTCATTTATTCGTGCAGGTTCAAGCATCCGCGAATCCCTTAAAGAGCACTGGCATGTTTCATTTCGAAGGCGGATGGCCGAGGGATATTAATCCACAGGATGAGGAAGCGACGGCTCGATTTCGAAGACGAACTGAAAAGGAAGATGATTGGGCACCGAAACTTCGGCACTTATTCAGAGTAATTGAATTTTCTTGAAACGTTGTCTATTCGAAAATCAGGTTGGAACGTTTTGGCGGGTTTTATCAATGAAAAATAGTTTTTTTCTATATTTTCAGACCATGGAGCACGGTGTTCGGCAAAACAATACTGTTGACATATATGAACATTATTTCGATGATATTGAACCGGCCAATTTGATAACGCCGCACAATCTTAGGTATTACGTAAAAAAGAGAATTTGATCATTTCTTTATACGTATTCCAAAATTACAACTTTCTTCTCTTTCGCTACAGGGTGGTTAATGTCTATACCGTTCCTCAATTAAAAAAAGAACCCGTTAACTGGATAGCCTGGTCGCCGGATCGTGACACGAAAATAATAGTTTCGTACTGTGTAATGGATTTTCAAAAAATTACCAAAGTACAGGGACACTCTTACGTTTGGAGCGTTGGTAGAGATTTTTCGAATTTTTAATGACAAAAGTTTAACTGGTTTAAACATTTTTTGAGCAAATATACGTATTTCTTTGTTTTTTTTTTTTTTACAGAAAACTCAAACGTGCCCGTTTCACTTTTAAAAACGTTTAGTCCTTTAGTAGTATCTGAATATCATCCACGTGATTCTAGACGAGTAGCCAGTGGCTTAATGACAGGGCAAGTTTGTAGTATTTCTTTTTTTTTTTTTTTTACAGAAAACTCAAACGTGCCCGTTTCACTTTTAAAAACGTTTAGTCCTTTAGTAGTATCTGAATATCATCCACGTGATTCTAGACGAGTAGCCAGTGGCTTAATGACAGGGCAAGTTTGTATTTGGGATTTGCGAAAAAGTATGAAACCAGTTGCATTTTCGAGATCGGATTCCAGTCACAGGTAAAACTGAATATTTGTTTTAAAGCAAATGAAACAGAACAATTTTATGAGCAGATATTCCGGCACAATTTTTTTTTCACGTTAAAGATATCCCATATCATCGTTAAAGTGGATCCAATCAAAAAATGGTTATGAATTTTTCACGAGTTCCTACGACGGACAAGTGATGTGGTGGGACATGCGAAATTTGCCGAAACCAACATCAATTTTGACTTTCGATCTTGAAAATCCCAGAAATCCAAGTTTGGATCATGCCTTCGGTGTGTCATGTATGAATTTTGAACCGACAGTAGCCACGAAATTTCTAATTGGCTTAGAAAATGGTGTTACCATAAGTGGATCCAGAAAATCAGCAAACCCGGAGGAAAAAATGTCCCTCCGGTTTGATTCCCATTACGGTCCTGTAATTTCAATCGACCGAAACCGATCGATTCCAAAATGCTTTTTAACTATCGGTGATTGGACAGCTCGTGTTTGGTCCGAGGACACAAAGGAAGGCGGATTGGTATCAACGAGGTATAATGCTTTAATATATGAGAAAAAAATTCATTTTTATCCATAAATTCATAAATCAAATATGGCCGCCTGACTGTAACGAGAGATCAGTAAAGTTACGGAATAAACTTATTCGTGATAGGTACTTCAAAAAGTTCCTAACTGGTGGATGCTGGAGCAGATCGAGGCACTCATTGTTTTACACCATCAATCGAACGGGTCATCTTAAATCTTGGGATCTACTTCAAGATCTTCAAACACCAGTGACGTCATTGCGCTTATGCAACGATCTCCTAACTACCATAACGCATCATGAGGATGGAGCCATAATGGCGATCGGCAGTACTTCCGGTAACGTGTATCTGGTAGAAGCTTCCGAAGGTCTCGTAAGATTTTCAAAAGATGAAAAGAGTAATTTTGTTACAGTGAGTTTGTGGTTCATATACATACTCTATTAGTTAGGAAAAACATACATATATCGTTTTGTGGATCGTAATACTTAGTTATTGCGTCAATTTGTTTATTTTGAAAAATAGTTAAATTATTATCGTTATTTCATTGAATTAGTAGTTCATCCATTATGTTCGATAACTTTCGAAGTTTAATAATCTCCGGAGTAAAGTTTCCTAGAGATTTTCTAAGGCTTCCAGCAAGTTTTCCTGCACGACAACTTAAACTACCGCGAAGACGTTCTTAAGTCTTCGCCACACGTTATCGCGGAATCCCTAGAGAACTTTACCGACCGCAACGATTTGCCAGTATTAGTAAAATTAATTAGATAGCTGAAAATTTTTGGTGAGATAAGTGGAAACTTTTTTTTTTCGAAATTAAAAATCTAAATTCGAGTACATGCATATAAGCCCTAAATTCTGAATCGACAGTACATCGACAGATGTTCCCGTTTCGCAAAGGCCATGGATGTGCGTCGAAGGGAATTGAAATTGTATCGAAGGACGACAACCCTGGAAGATAACAGAAGAAAAGAACTTGAGAAAGAATTGATTTTTGAAATGAGCAAAAGCAAAGGAAAGTCAATTCGCGATAAGAAATTGAAAGATAAACTTCGAGGTAAAGAATACCATCTCACGGAGTCACAGATTCTAAACGATCCTGAATTGCTCGACGCTGAAAAAGCATATTTTCGAATAATTAACGAGGTAACTTTTTATTGCCACGAGAAGCTGTCTCTATTGAAATTGTCATTTAACGTTAAAAACATACCCGCAGGAAATTTCGAAATTCGACCGTATCGTGGATCCTGATGATGATTTCCCGACAAAGGAGCACTCAAAAGTTAAAAAACAGACCAAAGATCGAAGGATTACTGGCAACTTGGAACTTCAAAAAATGAGATTACGTAAAAAAAGTGATTTTCCCAAACACAAAAATGAAATTGTAATTCTAAAAAAATCAAAAGTATCCGATATCCAAAACACTCAGGAAGTGCATAACCCGATTAATTCGAACGATTCTTCGGAGTCACTAATTTCGAAAGCAACTGCAACTGCAACCAAAGTTAAAGTGCCAGCAGGTCCCTTGAAGATGCCACAAGAATTGAAACCGTTAAGCCCAAGGATTTGTAAAGCTCCTTGCGCAATGGAAATTTGCTGTAAGGACGTTTCATACAAGATCAAAAGTAAGAAGCAGCAGGATAAACAGGATGAAAAATTGTTAAGAAACTTGACAGGGGAACAAGAGCCGGATGCTGAGATGAAAACCTGGAGAAGGATACCAGCTGGTTTAGGATCGTCAGGAACCACCGACTCGTTATTTACACAGGACGAGAAGATGGAGATCCTGCGAAATATCTCAGCGCCGCCAGAAAAAATGATACAAATATTTACAAGACGTATGAGTCACGTTGTCAACAAAACTGAGCCCGACTGAATAGATAAGCGAGTCGGACGCTGCCTGCGTCCGGAATTCTCAATTTGATTAATCGACAGTCGCAGTAATTATTATACACATATACGCGATAACGCATCAGTTCTCTGCACGGCGAGTTATCCGAAACTTTGTTGCTGAAATATTTTCTATTAACAATAGGAAAATCGTTAGCGCGTATTTAGTAACTTTATCGATAGATGTAATTCATTGTGTACATTGTAATATTATTATCATCATTGCCATTACTACTGTTACCAATAAGCTTCCGAGTTATGATTCTTTAGTATATTATCCGGCATTTGCAATTTATCAAATATTATAAATTATCGGGAAACTCCGATATATCCAAACCGATAAACTCTTATGGCTGGGCATCGAAACGGATACTGGCTTATATCGACATAAAGAGACACTTTCCGGTGTTGGATACCGGAAGTTCTCTCTAGCACCTCTAAGACTCACTTTTCCGGTGGTATCCCAGATACCAGCAATTTTTCACATTGGAAAACCAATGCAGTCTGTATAGTCAGTGAGAAAATGGTATCGCTGACGTCTACCTACCTAGGATGCCGCATGCACATTTTAAAGAAACGACACCGATAGGATTGCATTCTGCGAATGTCACGGGTTGCGGTTGCAGTTGCAATCTTTCTCCAAAAATTCTCTTGATTTCGCCACCTTCTGCCGTCTCTACCTCTTGCAGTCTCCGATATTCAAAGTCTTCGCCCTCTTCCCGTCGCCTGCGTAGCACGTGAACTTTTCGTCTCTCAAAGTGACTGGGGCTTTTGTCAAATTTCAAAGAATTCCGAACTAGTCTTTTCCCCTTATTTTCAAATTGCCCACAGTCTTTGGTGCCGGCGAAAATATTTCGCCAGACGTTGTTTCACATTAGCTGCTGAGAGGATCTGTGCCTGGAGCAACCATTGGATAAATACGGTATATACGTAATTTTGAAAATCCATTGAAAAAACTATCTAAGCTTGTGTGTCCAAAAATATGAAAATGACTTATCCTTTGGAGAGTCGGAAGACGTTATATCGTATCAAAGATGGCATACGACACATAGGGGTTGTATCTCCCAAAGTGAAAAACTCTTTTCACTATCCATTTTCTAAGATTTTTTTAAGGTCGAAGGAACCTGCGTATGGTAATAATAAAATATGAATAAGACACGTGTAATTACGTTTTCACAGAAACTCAAATATCAAAGAACGATCAGAATCACTCGTATGGTAAGTATCGGAGTAAAAAATGTGAGACACGCAAAAGTATCGGATTACGAAAGGAGGACGAGATAAAGAGCTTAAAAGATGTGGAAAGAGTAAGGTTGAGAAGTCTGGGGTGGGCGATGACGACGTCGAGTCCGAACAAAAGAAATAAAGAGCATGAAGGACTCGTAAAAGGGCCCGTGCAACTATGGACCAGATATCTCGACTCGGACGTTGTACTCCCGTACGTACTACGGTACGATACTCGCGGACGCAGTGCCGTATCAACTGCTTCACAAATGAGGAACAAATTTCTCAGCAGGAACTATCAATATCATTTCAAATAGTCTAAGTACTTTGTGTACGCATAAGTGGCAAAAATAATTCCTCTAGAAATTATAACATTCTTCTTATGTTTTACGTAATTCAAAATCGTAAAATATTTTCAGAGATAGAAATATGGGTGAGAACGAAGGCAAAGAAAAATGAAGAAACTGTATGAAAAGTATTTAGAGAGAAAGATAGAGAAAGATGGGAGTGTGGTGGAGGGGGAGGCTTCTAATAAAAAATGATAAAAAAAAGACGTTTTAGAGGAAAGCGAAGAATTTTACAGAGGATGGAAAATAT